TGGATGTGAATCATTACACCGCCTTGGTGACCCAAGCAGCACAAGCCCAAGCTGCGGCACAGGCCATGGCAGCGGCCACTGCTGCCCCACACACTACGGCGACGCTGCCAATGACGTACGTGTCTAAGGGTCAGAGCCAGTGGACGGCCAAGGAATCTTGGCAGTCTGACAAGTGGAAAGGCCAATCCTGGAAACAGAGTGATTGGCAGCAAAAGAACAGGTGGCCGCAGAAGAAGGGAGGCGGAGAGAAAGAGAAGTGGCCAAAGGGCTGGAACAAATGGGAGCGTGACGAGAAAGCCCCAGGAGAAGGGCAGCCGGTGACGCCTGGGGCGCCGCTGATCTTGCAGACGGGGGAGGTTCGATCCGGGTCGGTCGTCGGCCGACGCGTGGACCTGCCAGACGCAGAGGAGGCCACAGAGGAGGACCTGTCCCGCCAGGCCCAAAAGGGACGCTGAAAGGGAGGACCTGGCCTATTCGGCATCAGTCTGGAAAGAGGCCATCGAGCGGGCCCACCTGTCTGTGGATCGCCCCATGTCAGCCAGGGAGCTTGTTCAGATGGGCAAGCTCAAGGACTTCTGGAGCATGACCTGCGCCCTGAAGTTTCGGCGGACTCTGTGGGGGCCTGCAAGAGGGCCTTGGGTATGCCCGATCAAACCTTCCACAGCCTTCATGGACGGAGCATGCGCACCCGCATGCCAGGGGCAGAAGGAGTCATCATCTCGACCTTGATCACTGGCCCAAGTTATACCAAGTGTGATGACCTGGTCATGGCCCACGGCACCAGTTTTGTCCACGCGATAGGAATCGGGCTCCGGAGAGGTTTGTCCGAACGATTCCAAGCCGGAGGACTACCCCAGCTTCGGATTCAGTGGACGAGGGACGCTGGAGGCGCCAGACCCCACCATTGAGGCGGCCTTTCAAAAAACGGCCGCCCACTCCAAAGGCCAACAGGGGGTCATCTTCGTGTATCAGGGCGAGCTTGAGAAGCCCACCCGCACAACCGAGGTTGGGGTGGCGGTGATGATGGCGGCAGTCAAAGATGTGGGCTCAGCGCGCAGTGGACAGCACATCATCCTCCACCCCAAGCACGCTATTTTGCGTGCCATCGGCTGCGCGTGGCCAGCCTAGACGATGTGCCCCAGATTTTGAGCGACGACTGAGGGGTGTGTTTCTGGCCATGATAATCTCTGGCCCACTTGACAATTTTGGAGCGAGGTAAGACAGATGGGCGAGGAAACAAGGGGTCGGCATTCTGTACCCGCAGGTTCACCTCCCCCTTCGACGGCAGCATGTCTCCCGATTCAGCATGAGTGTAGGCTCACGGTGGTCAGCATGAGTTGGTATGCTCAAGTTGGCTCGCAGTATGAGAGCCCTAGATTCCTAGATGTACCGTCGGAAAGCGATTCCGATGAGGCGATTGCGCCGGCCTTACCAGTGAACCCCACGCAAGACGAGGTGAGTGAGCATGTCATAGTTGAGCAGACCACGTTGCCGGTTATCCGACTACCATGGGAGTCTGGAGTGTTCCAAGAGATTTTCTCCAGGCCGTCGATCATAAGCGATGATTTGCCCACTCCCACCATGTACGGTCAGGCTGAGCTCCAGCTAAGGGAGCTGTCGGCGCGGCAATCGGTGAAGCGCCAGTGTAGAGTGGTCAAACCTGACCAGGCCATTTTCTTGCAGGCAGTTAGGCGCAAGCCTGACAGGGACTTCGACGAGAAATGTGAATACGTGTGGGGCCGAGCTGTCAAACTATGGCTGACGCTCATGCTAGCGTCGCCTTCTGCAGGTAAGTTTGTCCAGAGTGTTTGCAGCATGGAAGAGGAGGAAGCTCTCTCCTCTATCAGGGATGTCTTCGGTGTAAAGTCACCCCACGCTGCACTGAAGCGAGCTACATCTCTCGTCAGATTCATGAAGTGGCTGAGACCGGGAGTAGATAATCACAAACCACTTATGCCACCGGAGCCAGTCTTGTATGCCTTCCTGAAGGAGCTAACCTGCAGGTCAACAGGGAAGCTGGCAGCGCTTGGGACGGTCCAGGCCTTGCGATTGGCCCAACACGTGCTCAGGTGTCACAACTTGGATGCTGTATTATCACCGCGGGTGGTTGGTGCAGCGGACCGCTCCGCAGGAGAGCACTTGCCTCACAACCAGGCCCGGGATTTGACAGTTAGCGAAGTTCGACAGGTGGAGGAAGCTATACGTGCACAGGACGCTGACCCGATCGACAGGTTTGCTGCAGGGGTCATGTGCTTCCAACTGTTTGCACGGAGCCGCTGGAGCGACGTAGCGTGCATTGATAGCCTCTCCTTCGATGTTGCGGAAGTAGCTGGATGTCCGGTTGGCTACGTAGAAGCAAGGGCCCGTCATGTCAAGCAGAGCAGCCAAGCTAAGAAGAAGAAAGCGATGTTCATGCCATTGGTGGCACCTATCCAGGGAGTCAGCCCCGACTTCTTTTGGGCGCTTGAGTGGCGCCATGCTGCCCAGTTAGCGGGCATCGACCTGACAAAGCGACCGCTCGGAGCGCTGCTCCCAGCCCCAGGGCCAGAGGGAACTTTCCTCAAACGACAGGCGTCAGATTGGCTGCATGGACTACTGCTGAGGAGCGATCCCACCCGACAGCGCACTACGTCGCACTGTCTTAAGCGCACGGTGTTGGGTTGGCTCAGTAGGTTTGGGATCCATGGCGAGACGCAGACACTGCTGGCGCACCACAGCACAGGGCCCATGAGTCACCTGGCTTACTCGCGGGACGCTTTGAGCGGCCCAATTCGCCAATTAGAACAGATGCTCCAACAGATACGTGAAGGCTCATTTCTCCCCGACGCGACCAGAAGTGGTTATTTTGTCAGGGAGAATGTTAGCGAGGCTGATCCGTCCTGGAGCATGGTCAGCGAGCCACCGGTGGTGCCTCGTCCGATGCCAGCAACGTGGAAAGGCCCAGGTTGCACGGCGCAAGCAAGTGATGCGAGGGAGGAACAGCAAGCAGCAGACCCCACAGGGGCCTCCTTGTTTGGCACCAACTTCCGGAAGCGGTGGCTTCTGATGGAAAGGACAAAACGCAGTCCCGAGATTCCAGAGACGGAGCCTAAGATGGAAAGCGAGATCCGCGACCACAGCCCGGAGGCGGTTGTAGAGGTGGATGTGGCAAACGAGACAGAGCAGCAGACCAGAGCTACAAGAATTGGAGACGCAGCAGAGGACGAACAGGACACAGTCTGCTCGGGGGTCGGCCTCGTGGCAACTGACGTCATGTCCGGTATGCACGTGTACCATCGCGCAGCAACATAGCTGACGCGCCAAGTCGCTGCTACTTCTTGGGTCTTCCAAACCCCTGCAGGATCAACGATGATGTTGTTGTGGAAGCATTGCGTGAGGTGTTACGGCAGGCGCGTCGCTTTGTTGCCCAGACTACTTGACCGAGGAAGGGACTTCTGTCTTCTTTTCTCCCCTTACCTAGGAGGGGTTTTTCGTGTTTTGCACCCAGTGAGACAGAAGACCTGCGTATCAGACAGGTGATCGATTCTGTACCCTTCCTCGGAAAAAGGCTCGAATGGAGTGACTTAGGGGGAACGAGTTTTCGAGATGATGAAGATATATTCATGGGATGAATTTGAGAAAACATAAGGGCATTGTAACTGTACTCTTGACTACAAACCTTTATTTTGAGATAAAATTTTTCACCATGGAATGCGTGAGAAATTTTGGCTCAGCCCGAGAGGGCACTGAGAGTCAGATGAGCAGAATAAAAAGCCCCGCCCACCCACCCAGCAGTGAAGGAGTGATGCTATGGCGGAGTGACAGCCCGTCACATGACTGGCTCTCCCCCTGAGTTGGCAGCGCGGTGGCCCAAGCTTAGTGTTTACTGCGCTGCAATGGACGCGCCTCCTAGGATCACTGCCTTGCAGATGAGAGCCTTCGAGATTTGGGTTCGTACATTGAGTATGGACCAGCTCATCATGCTGGCCGAACGCATCGAGGACGTTCTGGCAGACAGAGAAGTAGAGCTCCGCGCGCGGTTGCAGGCCAGGCGTGATCGGCTGAATGTTTCCCTCTCGGCAGCTGCGAGCTCGTCCTCTACGCAGCAAGAAGCCCAGCCGATTGAACAACATCCAAGTTCTTCGTCTCATGACCAGTCTTGGGAGCTGCTTGACCCGCAGTAGTCAGACTCCATCCTACGTTTAGGTCCGCTTGGCAACGACCATGAGTGCAAAAGATGTTTTCGGTGTGTTCACGTGTGTTGTCTTCGTGTTGTATCAGTGAACAGTGACGCCTGCGCCAGCTCCCCAATCGCTCCGTCTTCTGCTGGCTTCGGGCTCAAATTGTCTGAAGCCGTTCACTGCCTGTGCTAGCTAGCTTCAGCGAGTGACCTTGTCTGACGTTCGGTATGAAGCGGGATGCTGAAGCTGCGTGTCTTGACGAGGGCACGAACCGTGAATCCAGGGTCCAATGGCTGGCAGTGATGGTCACCAATGTTCCGGTTGTGGATGTTGTGCTTTGTAGAGTGGCAGCTACAGGGACAGTCGACGACATCAAGTTTGCGGGTGCTGATGACGTATGGCATCGCACCGGGCATGACATGAGAACTTCCAGTTTTCGCCTGGAGCTGCAGGGACGACACGTGCCCTTTAGCACGAACCTTAGCGATTTGCCTTTGAATCCTGGTGCTTGCTTGCACTTTGGTCTCCGACTCACCCACTGACAGGACGACTACTTAGGCAGAACCTCTGAGCGTAGACGGTGCGCATGTCTCACACACCCGACGGGGTTTTTCGTGTTTTGCACCCAGTGAGACAGAAGACCTGCGTATCAGACAGGTGATCGATTCTGTACCCTTCCTCGGAAACAGGCTCGACTGGAGTGACTTAGGGGGAACGAGTATTCGAGATGATGAAGATATATTCATGGGATGAATTTGAGAACAAAATTAGTAGTTAGTAGTTAGTAGTTAGTAGTTAGTAGTTAGTAGTTAGTAGATAGTAGATAGTAGTTAGTAGTTCGTAGTTAGTAGTTCGTAGTTAGTAGTTCGTAGTTAGTAGTTCGTAGTTAGTAGTTAGTTAGTAGTTAGTGAACCTGCAGCTGGCCCGCAAGAGAGTAAATTTAAACCGCCTCCCTGTCGGTGCTGGTGAGTTAGTATGCGTGCGGCTCTGTGTGAATCGCCAGAGTTCAGAGCCCCCGGTACTTTTGCTTCGCGTAAGGTCTGTTGGGGTGCGTTCTTTTTCTATTTGCGTTTTCTTGCAGAATCCGCCTGGGCAATGTTTTCCTGATGTGCTACTGAGTCGCCATGGCTAGCGAGCTAGTTTGCGCGGTACAGTGCGCTCTCAAGGCTTTCTATCTTGTCATGCCGACCTTTCCGGATTATGCCTTTTGTTATGATGTGCCCATACCAACACCTCTGCAAAGTCGCCTCACGCCGGTGGAATCTATGCGCTTCACACCGTATTGAACCTGCGCTACATTTGGTGCGTTTCTGCGTCGTCTTCGTCAAGAACTGAGAGAGGGGCTTCGTTTCATCTTTAGTGCCGCTTTGACTCCTTGCTCGGTTCGGTGTTGTGCGGTTTTGTTGTGGTGGTTTTGCGATTGTTTTGTTTTGATTCTCGGAGTCGTCTCACCTTTCCAACCCGACCCACAAGAACGGCCTACTGTGCTACTGATGTAGTAAAGAGAGTAGTTAGTAGTTAGTAGTTAGCAGTTAGCAATTAGCAGTTAGCAGTTAGTAGTTAGTAGTTAGTAGTTAGTAGTTAGTACTTAGTACTTAGTAGTTAGTAGTTAGTAGCTAGTAGTTAGTAGTAGTTAATAGTAGTTTGTAGTAGTTAGTAGTAGTTAGTAGTAGTTGGTAGTGAAGTTAGTAGTAGTTAGTAGTGTAGCTAGTAGTTAGGAATCCAAAAGTGCACAACAGCCTTGTTTTCCCGCTCCTCATTCCTGACCTGAACAACCCCTCCGTATTCAGCAGAAGCAACAAGGGTGCTCAAAGCTTGCTGCGTGCTGGCTATATCAAGAATAAAAATGTTGAATTCAAGCTGCAAGTCGGCCTTCTGTAAGACATTAAGTGCCTCAGTTCTCCACCAAAGAGCATCAGGTGTGTTGTCAGCAAAATAAATGACCTTGATGGCATCTTGTTGCAATGTGACAGGGAGATGGATCCCACAAGCGTGGAGTTCCAGAATAGCTTTTTCAAGCTTTATTGGGGCAGCTGATCCTTATGGCTCCATTGTGGAGGGCATTTCTCGGGCCGCCTGCTCGGAGTTCTTTTCTCGCGGTAGATGCACGTTTCGTTCAATCGCTCAGTGAATGCATGCATTCGCTCACTGGTTCGCTTCTTTATAAGTCACTCACTAATTCTCTTCACTTAATATTCATACCGCGTGCATGAAATGAATTTATTATTGGCACGCGAGGTTAGAACCATAGCAAGAATATTATTATCAATAATAATAATCGTGTTCGTTTCACTCACTGATTTATTACGAAAAGTGTGAACAAGTGAACAATACTCAAAACATTCTCGACTAAACAAATCCTCAATCATAAGCTGTGTCCTGATGCTCGCTCAAAGACCCAGCGAAATACAGTAGGTTTAGTGGATATTTTGCAGCACATATAATGTTATTTATTAACGGGCTAATTTTATCAATGCAATCCAAGGCGTGAAAGAACGCGCGATTGTTTTTTTAAATTTACTAGCCCGTACAGTTCCCTCATGTATTCACTCACTGCAGTCTATTATTATTACTGTGTATCGCGGGCTCACGAAAAGGCGTACATCATGCCCGTGTAAAAAGCCCGTTCCGTTCACTCGTGAATGACGTTCGCTTGTTCATGAATTCACGTCGCTTTCTCATTCACTCAGTCTCATTGGCGTGTTCAGGATGGACCTGTTTCGGTTGCCCCATGTTGCTCTATGTTTTCCGTGTTTCAACTGGCGAGCCAGTCGCTGCTCTAACTATATACGTCGTTTAGTCATTTCACCATTCTCGCAAGGGGCCTTCCATTTTGTCATCTTTAATATGGGCTATGTCACATGTTTGTGAAAATTGCTCAGCAAGGTCATGGCTGGTCATGTTTTATCAGTTCGTCAATCTCCCATAGCATGGTTGCTTGACAACGCTGCAATTTGACGTTGTGCATTTGCAAACGATAGCTTGACGAAGCGCAGCCGTTTCAAGGCATAACCGTGTGAGTGCTATGTGTTGAAACGCAGCACAGACAGCATTCACAAGTTTTGTCACTCGCACACTGACAGCTCTTTCTTTAAATGAATTCTTGTTGGATGTCCTGTGATGGGGTGTGGTGCCCAGAATTTGGGGAAGTTGAGTATTGCAGCGAAGAGGGATCACAGCAGGTTTCATGCCTTCCCTTTGGCGCCTCAGATCCTGCTGCCCAGGTATATTTACCATGAACGCCAATTAGGCGGCTTATGTGGTGTGATGCTGAGACAGATGCCAGATCCATGCGTGAGTGTTGGTAGGAACGCTTGTCCTGCAGCTTGTTGAGCTGCAGAGCTTCACATGAACAGTAAACAACGTGGACGTCAGCTCGCGTTTGCAGTGGGTCAAGGTGTGCATTGCCTCAACAACTTGCTGCAGGCAACTTTTCGACCCGCGGAACAAAGTTGTTTTCGATGCTTGAAGATGTTGAGTCGTGGGTACAAGATCTAGCTTCCCGACTGGTCTCATCCAGAGTGCATCGCTTTTCCTTATCTTATACAGAGCTTTAAAGCTTCAGGTTGTTTAGGCACTATGGGTTTAGGGTTTCTCGGTGTCAGGGCAAGAGGGCTTCATCTGAATTTTGGGCCGAAAAAGGTTTGGCTGAAATTTTCGGCGTTAGGTTCAGGTTCTTCACAAAAGAGGTTTGAGCCAGCAAAGTTTAGTTGTTGCGACTTGGGCAATTGAAGTTTGGTCATGTCGCAGCTGCAAATGCTTGCAAGCTTTGAGTTTGATAATGACAACGGGCATGGCTGTTCATACGCGCAGTCCACGTCTACGCTGAGTGCGTGCTCTTGTGGCTTAGCAAGACTCTTGTTGCAGCCTGCTTCGCGTAAAGTAAAGTGTGGTCAGGGTCCCGTGTTTGGGCCGGGAGACCTTGCGGAGATTGGCGTGCACCTGGATCAGCAGGACTGGAAATGGACTGCCCTCTTCGTGATACTTTTTGGCTGAGTGTTTCGGCGAAGCAGTGTTCACCAATCTTCATGAAACTTCTCGCATTCAGCTTGTTTGAAGGAGCGTGCGTTGGTCCGGACACAAAGCTCGAACAGCCAAGGCAGAGAGCAGCAGACTTAATTCATAAGCTCCAAGTGTTCTGACGCTGAGATGATCCCGTGCAACGCACAGGTGGTGCCGGCCTCGAAGGGCAACCTTACAATGTGCTGGGCTCACAACCACCATTTGCCTTTCGTTGAGCACAGTAGCCTTTGGAGATGCGGCTAGAGCCTCGAGCTCAGGTTGACAGTTCTGCAGATGGTGGGAATTTCAGCATTCAGGTGCAACGGTCAACTGCGAAGCAGCAATGTTTTGTGTAGTTCCACCGTGATGAATGAAGCATGATGGAATGAAGGTGTTGACAGTTGCGCTGGAGCGGTTCAAGCTCGACCTGGTGTCTTCCAGGCGTCAATGCGACAGCATGCCAGCGACTGTCAACAAACGTAGTCTGCTGTTTCGTGTCTTCGTCCGAATTGGTCTTTGCTTGAGTGCGGGGCGAGCGGGAAACCTGTGCCCTGAGTCTAGCTTGCGAGTCGGAAGCCCAGTGGCGAGAGTCGGGGAATCAGGATACTCCTGACTTCAACTGCTTGACAGCACGACTCCTGGTTCGTCGGGTTAGGCGTTTCAGGAGGCAGGGATTTTCAGGCTTCCGCTTTGTATGGTCGGTTTAGGGTTTCTCGTGTCTAGGGTGTTTGCTTCTAGGACTCAAAAAATTGAAGGCTTCGGGTTTTGGGAAGAATCATTGTGTCCGGAGTTTTTTTTTTGGGCTTCTTGTTTATCGTTGAGCAGAAATTTGCAGCGATTGTGCCTCTTAGTACTAGATGTTGAAGAATCTCTTTTGTTTCTGGGACAAGACGTGCTGGCAGAAACCTTTTTGTGAACATGCCCACAGCACTGGGATGTTCAGCGTGTTTGCGTTTATAAAACATGTTGCGGAAGAATGTCTGATGTTTCTGCAATCAGACGTGCTGCCACAAGTGTTCATGCCTTTTGAGATATGCCCAAAACACTGTTATTTTCAGCGGTTTTTACCTCCTTCTACAACATACTAACCTGCACCAGCTATCATGTCCATGTCCAGGAAAGGGATTCGTGCTTAGCTTGCAGCTGTCTTAGCCTTCGAGTTTTCAGCGTTTCCAAGCCGAAGAAGCGGAGAACAACAACACACAAAAATAGACACCCCCAACATTGCGGAACCGACGTTCGTCATGCGTGTAGCTAAATCCTTGCATGGTGAGCTCTGCGTGGGGGTTGTTTAAGATTCAGGTTTTGAGGGTTTAGGGTGGAGACTTTCGGGCTTGCAAATGCGGGTGGAGGGCTTTTCGGTTGGGATTTTGAGTTTTTCAGGGTGGAGGGTGATTGGGGTTTCGAGTTTGAGGGTTTGGGATTTCGGGTTGCAATTTAGCGGGATGATTGAGGCTGCAAGGGTTTAAGGGTTTCGAGGCTTTCGGGTTCAGGGTTTGGGGTTTCGTGTTTTTGGCGAAACAAGGGTTACACTACTTTGCTGAAGGGGACCAGCCAAAGTTTACTGCCTAAATCCTGCCGATGGTAGTTTCAAAGGTTCCAAACTTTGCAGGTTGAGTTGAGGTTTCAGGTCTAAGTTTGGACGGTTAGGTGGCCCTGAGAGTTCGTTGCGTTCATTCAGATCAGTGAATTCGCTCTCTTGTTTTTTGTTTCAAATTGATTCAAATTGTTCGGACTCAGTGACCTCCATTTTTGGTTGACATGATGCGGTAGTTTTCCGACTCGAGTTTCGGCTGGTCCGATTCGGTACTGCGTTTTCTGTCTGGCTCCTGTCTGGCCTTGCTCGCTTTTTGACTTGAGGTGCCTCCTCACTTGAAAATGCGGCAAGATCCGATCAGACAAAGAGGCAGTCAGATTGGGACGTATGATGCTGGTCAGGCATCCTGACGTGAAGGACAAAATGCAGGACCGGCGGCGCAGTCCGAGTAAGGCTTGGCCATCTCCTGCATTGCGTCCTGGCAGCGGCCCAGGATCCCGACAGCGCCACCGAAGCATTTCTGTGTCGCACTCTCAACCTTGAGAAATTTGCAACGGAAGGGTTAGATCAAGTTAGATCAAGTTCTGCCTCCGTCTTCCCAAAGTTCAGCGTGTTGCATGCCCATGAGGCCAATATCGAGACCACTGGTTTGCCATTCGGAAGGCCTACTCCCAGCTCTGACTCTTCCGCTGTTCCCCTGAACCTTAGAAGCTTGGTTGTTGTACAATGTTTGTGTTTTAGGGTTTAGGGTTTAGGGTTTAGGGTTTAGGGTTTAGGGTTTAGGGTTTTAGGGTTTAGGGTTTAGGGTTTAGGGTTTAGGGTTGCTGGGAGATCATGCTGTGTTGAATTCAAGTTTGTTTGCAGAAGCGCTGCCGGCTGTTTGTCAAAACATCCATGACTGCCGCTGCTTTGGCTCGCATGGGTAGCAATTCGGTACGGAGCGTGGCGTACGGGCCTTGGTCGGAGTAGGGGGTGACTCCAGCCACGTGAAGGTATTCACCATAGCTTTATGTCTATGAACCAAGTTTCTTGTCAAGCGACGAGCAGCATGTTACATTTCCGTGGTCAGTCATCGTGTTTGTGAACCAGTGTGTCTGCATGATTCCGTGCTGTGAGGGTGCGGCAAGAGAATGTTTGGTTGAGTAACGTTTCATCACATCAGTCAGCTGCCTCGTTTTCTGAGGCACAGCCCTTCTGTGGTCTTCAGGGGGCTCCCGGTACGGTAGCTCAGGGCACGGCACGGGGGGGCTGCACGGATACACGATGTTGTGCGGCGACTGCTGCGCTGGAAGCTTGGGGACTTGCCTGGCTATGCACTGGATGCGGACTGTCCGGCCCGAGAAGTCCAACCTTCCCCAGTGAAATAGATGTGGGAAGACTTTGCATGCGCAGTTAGAAACAGATGAAAGCATCAAGACTCAGATCCTTTGCTAAGCTTTCTTAACTTCAGCCAGGGCAGTTTGAAAGTGACAGTCCATCCTTGGAAGCGATGGGCTGGAGTCGGCCATAAGCGGTCAAAGAATGCCGACGACTTGAGATGTCTTTGATGTCTGGCACGGAGGAATGTCCGGAAGACGCAGAGCACGTGCCGCCGGCAACGCCAGCAACGCCACCACCGCCGGCATCGCCAGAACTGCCAACGTCCATCTCGCTTCGGGTAGCACTGCTGAGTGGCGAAGCCACCAGAGTGACCGTGGATCCCCACAGCACCATCCAAGTGCTTCGATCCAAAGTGCAGAAGGAACTTGGAATCCATGAACTTATCACTGCAGAGGGTCAGCTGCTGAAAGGGACAAGGGCCACCTTGCTGGACATAGGCTTGCAGGATGGAGATACTGTAACCGCCACAGTCAGGTATGCAACCTTGGTGTCTGGAAGGCTTTGCAGAGCCTTTGCCTTACTCCGCGGTGATGGTTCTGTGGTTTCTTGGGGTGAGAAAGTTGCGTGTGGTCAGTACAGCAGTGTTGCTCATGCCACGCTCGAAGGTGTTCAGAAGATACGGTGCTCCAGTGGAGCCTTTGCTGCTGTCTTAAGCGATGACTCCGTGGTTACTTGGGGTGACACAGCTTGTGGTGCTGACAGCACCTCTGTTGCGTCGCAGCTTCAGAACGTCCAGGATATGTCTGCTTCGGCCTTTGCCTTTGCTGCGATCCGACAAGACGGTAGCGTAGTAACCTGGGGCGATCGTCGCTTTGGTGGGGACAGCAGTAGTGTTCAGGAGCAGCTGGTGGATGTGAAGCATATTGCCGCCTCCGGACGTGCCTTTGCGGCCATTCGGGGTGACGGTGCAGTTGCTGCCTGGGGTAGTGAAGATTGCGGAGGAGATTGCAGCGAAGTGAAGGCTCTTCTGCAAGACGTCACGCAGGTCCATCACACGTATTCGGCCTTCGCAGCCATTCGGAGTGATGGCAGTGTGGTCACCTGGGGTGACAAGCACGGCGGTGGTGACAGTAGTGCTGTCCAGTCCCAGCTTCGAGATGTCAGAAAAGTCCATGGTTCAAGCTATGCTTTCGCTGCCATCCGAGGTGATGGAACTGTTGTAACTTGGGGATCGGCTGACTCAGGTGGTGACAGCTCTAGTGTTCAGGACAAGCTCAGGAACATCAAGGAGATCCAGGCCACCGACACAGCCTTTGCTGCAGTTCGAGGAGACGGCACCGTCGTCACCTGGGGAGGCCGGCATGGCTTCGGTCGAGGCGGCAACAGTGCCGCCGTGCAGACGCAGCTGCGCGATGTCCAGAAGCTTTCAGCTTCCGACGGAGCTTTCGCAGCAATTCTCGGAGATGGAAGCGTGATCACATGGGGAGATGAGGACTATGGAGGCGATTGCCAGGTGGTGCAGGAGCAGCTCTATGATGCTCGAGACATTCAGGGCTCGAACTCAGCCTTTGCCGTCATCCGTGGTGATGGTGGGGTGGTCACCTGGGGTGACAGGCAAGTAGGGGGTGACAGCAGTCTCGTCCAATCCCAGCTGCACGATGTCCACTGCACGTCGCTTCGCACCGCCAAGTTCTCCACCCAGGACAGGCATGAAGGTGCCACCCCAGAAGCTGCCATCGTCGAACCCAGTTAATTTTCTATAAGGCCCACGTCTGAATTTTGAGAAAATTCTCGGTTTCACCCGCTACCTCAGCTCTCTTGTTTGGCGGCTTGCAGAGGAGTGAAAAAGATGAGTTGGCTACCGCAAGTAGTTGATTAATTCATGGAATGCTGCGCTGCATCTGGAACATCAGGTTGGAAGTGGTAGAGTGAGGTTGACAGGTTGCTAAAGCATTTCCCCAAGCAACATACTGTCGTATTGCCACGGGTTCCTTGCGTCCGTTGATTCTCAGCCTAAGGCAAATGGAGCTGAGTTTCAAAGGCTCCGGGGCCATAAAGCGCCTTGGATCATCTTGGGTGGCATGGTGAACAGAAAGCTGGCAAGATGTCACTTGCAGCCACAACCGCTGTTGCAGTCGATGCAGAAAGCCATCATTGATACAAGGTCTTTCAAGCTTGGAGGGATAGAAGCCTCATCGACGATCGGTGAGCTCAAAAAGAAATGCCAAGAGGACATGTCTTAAGCATTGAGAAGATGGACAGCGTAAGAGCAACTTGCCAATGGCCATGGTCATGAAGCATTCCTATCACTGTGTTGAGTGCTTAGTGTTGGAGGGTTAGTGGTCTTTGGCATGACATCAGCAACCGTGATGATGCAACTGCAGGAGTGCGGCTTGGACACATCGCAGCAAAGATTATTCCTGAAAGGCAAGTTGCTGAAGGCACGCATGTGAGGTAGGAAAAGGCTACTGTGTGTTTTCATCACTTGGCTGACTTGACAGCATTGCTCTCAGCTTGATTCTTGATGGGCCGATGTGCTCCAAAAAACTATGCCGCATTCTTTGCGGCTATGATGGCCAGACCGTGTCGAAGTAGAGCTGCACATATCTGTCCATGTTGTCCATGTTGCCATCTTCCGTTGTGAGCCGCAGCGTGGGATGAGCTTCTGCCGGGGCACGAACCGTCCCTCACAGTTGCATGTATGACCGCGCCTCTACTCGAATTCTAGATCCCTGTACTATTGGAACAAGATCCGTCATGCTGCTGCTGTGCAGGACGAGGACACCCTCGAGTCAGCCAAGATTAGCGACAAGTCGACCCTTTTCCTCGTGATGGGCTCAGCGAGAGCGGGCAGGATGTCAGCCCAAAAGACTGCTTGGGTCAAGAGGGACCCTTGCACTTCTTGCAGACGCCTCGAGCAGGTGAAGGGAGCCTCAACTGCTTCTGGTGGTACAGAGGCGAAGGCCATGCTTGCTTCAGTCTTCGGTACTTAACTGTTGCCACCCCGACTCACTGGCAGCGGTCGGCTGGGGTCGTTGCGACAGCGGCGCCCATCGTGAATCCGGAATCAGTGTTCCAAGCCTCCAAGACGTCTTATCAGGAAGAAAAGAAAGAAGAGGAGCCTGCCGGCTCCTCGGAAGTGGGGCGCTGTGGCTAATGCTCTCGTTTCTTTCGTCGGCGATACCTCCTCTGTCGACACTTCTCGGCTCTCGCCTGTTCCTCTCTTCTATCCAACCCCTCTTCCTCTCCTCTTCCCCTCCTCTGCCTCTCCATCTTCCTCTCCTCTGCCAATCGCCAGTTGGTTCCGGTCCCCTGCCGCGGCGGGTGCGGATTCTGCGGCACCGCCAAGACCGACAACTACTGCACCGTGCTTGGCATGTGGCAGACACTGTTTAATGAACATAGTACCGGGATCATTCATACACCACTCAGATTCAGGTTCAAAGTGCTACGCCGAGCGAAAGAAGAAAGAAGAGGAGACCGGCAAAGATGCGCGTGCTAGGAATGCCTCCCCGAACTTTTCGAGGTCCTGGGGCATGTCAAACTCTTTAAATTCAAACATGCTGCAACCCCCCTGCGCTCCTGATTCATGTTGTGGGCTGCAGATGCTGCAGTCAGTACACACGCCGTGAAGACCATTGAAGTCCTTCTTCAGGAGGAGGAGGTGAAGGCAAAGAAAGAGAAGGAAGAGGCGGCTAAGGTTGAAGAGAAGAAAGAAAATCCTGAAGAGGCTGGCCTTTGCGACGCCAGGTCACGCACGAATGGAGCACACCGAGCGTGAATCATGCGTGAATCATGTGTGAATCATGTGTGAATCATGTGTGAATCATGTGTGAATCATGTGTGAATCATGTGTGAATCATGTGTGAATCATCCGTGAATCTGCGTTGAGTGCGCTTGGGTCATTGTAGAGTGATCAGGTAGCTGAAGCCGTGCCTCGGGAAGAACAGAAGGAGCTCTGCACACATGCAAGCTCAGCAAGCCTTGTTCACCTGTCTCTGGAATGCTGCGTGAAGCAGGGTGTCAGGAGAATCTTATCCTTAAATTTCCACATCTGTTCCTGTTCATTCACGGCCTAGATGAGTTGCTGCTGATGCAGATTTGATGGTCCAGTGTCAAGCTCCGTTGACTGCTTATGAAGGACAAGACCAAGTGCTGGCACTGTGGTAAAAAGCCTCGATCTTGGTCCTGTCCAGACTGTTTGCGAAGCTTTGGACCCATTGTCGATCTTACATGCTTACACCTTGCCCTTTGGGTGCAAGGTGTGGTCTCACCGGCTTCGAGTGCCGCTGTGGCTACACCTTCTGCGGAAAGTGCAGACACGCAGAGGACACCTCAGGGCAATCTCGCACATGTTAACATGATCTCATCAATGACCCAAACACTCGCCTCGCCGGCCAGTACATGACTGACACAGACCCACTGTCCGGAATCTGTAAAAGTGCACCTTTCATAGAGAGCCGATCTAGCCCCTAACCTGTTTGTTCAGGACCACAACTGCGATTTCGACCACAAGGGCAAGGGTCGAGAAATCCTCGCCAAGAACAACCCAAATATTTCCATTAAAGGCACCTATCAGCGGGCCTTCAAGTACAGCTGTCCATGGACTCTGAGCATCCCTGGGCTGAGCGTGAGCTGATGCAGCCTCATTTGCAGGTGGTGCTCCTGCTGTTTGATGCTTCCTCCGGAACTCCAAGCACTGCTTCTTCTGTGCTCAGGCTTGACGTTAGTGCTGTCCTGTAGCCTGTTGCCCTTTCTCGTTACATGGACGTGCAGATGTGTGCAAGGCGGCGACGGGCTGCTTTTCCAAGGTGTGGCTGAGTCCCGTCGTGACCGCAGCGGCGGAGCGCGCCGAATTCAGGGGCGACCAAGACTCCTCTCAGCTTTCAGAGTGCAGTGTTTCTAGTCTGGACAATGGCTGGTGGAAGCCTTGACTCATGTTTTGATCTCGTCCTCTAGAATCAGCGTATGACACCTTTGGATGAGCTCCACGGAATGTCTGTCCAACCTTGCGCATCGCTGTCAGGATAACCTGATTCGCCAAGTGTTTGTCAGCTGCGCATCGCACGCTTGAGAACCGTGCAGCGCCAAAAATCATGCCACTTTCAGTTTGGAGTCACGCAGGCGATTGACACGTATACTTGTCTTGGAAGCCCTTCCGCCTCGCATGCTGGAAGTCAGTTGCAGCGTCTCAGTGGTCGGGAGATGCATCAGAGCATGGTTTGGGGCATTTTGGTTCCCAGCGTTCAGGTACTGGACGGGTGGTGGAACCTGAACTCTACGAGGAAGAGGCGGCTCAAACTGGAGACATGCCTCCTGTGAAGGGAAACCTTAAGCCCCTAGCTCGAACCCGAGCAGCCAGTCCAAGAGTTTGCCGACAGGCCGGCGCAAGTTGGGCCTTTCTACTTGGCAGTCGGCTGGCTGCACACAAGACTATGCTTATTATGACGTCGGTAAAGAAAGGCGATCGTGGTTGCTGTAAACAACATCCTGTAAGGCTTGGTTGGCGCAGCTCCAAGCGGAGGCCGGCCCCAAATTCTGTGGTGTTGCGTGGGTAGATTCGGGTTGCAGGAAGATGTTAGTCTCTTTTAGTCCATCACTGTGCAGTTCCTTTTAGCAAAAGGCACCGGCAAGCTCGTGTGCGCCATGCAGTTCAAAACCGTAGTTGTCTCGAGAGATGAGAGGTAAAGGAACACGGAACGGAGTCGGTACATCAGCGCCGCAGCTGCCACGAAACAAAGTCCGATGAAAAGCCCGATGGGGGCTACACGTGGGGCTACCGGATTGTGAAACCGTCTTGCAAGACGGGCAGCCAAGCGGATGGCAGCTGTGACTCCCACGATCTCCCACAAGTTGCGCCAAGTGTGTCGTTGTAAGCCTTGTGCCTGCCAAAGCACTGTGAAGCCCGGACGGCATGACAAACGGCCATGCTACCGAGGGTTACACCATCTTCCTTGTACTCGGCTCTCTCCCACCGCCTGTGGAGCCGTGATAGCCTTATGACGGTGAATCCAGGTGAACTGCGGTTGCTAGCCAGGGCGGGTTCACGAAACGTTATCTTATCCATCGGGGGGCAAGGGGGTGTTCCGACGCCAAGGTCCACTGCTGACCGGCACGAGATGGAGAGCCTCAGCAGCACACAGATACTGCCATGATACTGCCCTCTTCGGATTTTTTTTCAATGACAGAGCCTGCTGCATTAAAACAGACAAAGACTGGAGCATGGGCGGTTGGTCGGGGTTTGCGATTTTCATGGCTGACATGGCGCAGAGGAACTTCCATGCCGTTGTTGACTTGCGGGAGAAGGCAGGAAGTTTGTTTCGATAGCTTACCTTGGCTTCGCTCACATGTAATGCTAGTGGCTGTGTCGAAATTGGCCAACTGGATCCAACTGGTCGCAGGTCACAGGGTGTGCTGAAAGAGTCTCTTTTGTATATGCTTGTGGCAGCATGCTGGGCACACTGTCGTGAAATCTAGGCCAAGCACCATGGTGGAAATCCTGTCATGAACGAGCCGGACTCTGAAGAGGAAGGCAGGAAGCTCTTTGATGGAAATGATCCCAGCTGCCTGAGGGAATCATTTACATGTTTCATTTGCCTTGGCAAGGGCTCGCAGATTTCATTGAGATCCCCGAGCCCATTGCATCCCAGGGCCGGAATTGGCCTTAGTGTGAAACTTGAAAGGGACGTCGGTCTACGAAGTACTAGCTGCAGAAAAAGTTGAAACCAGGGTCTCCTTGGCGGATGCCTGCACGTCAATGCGAGAGATGGGCTTCAAGGCACGTGATTTTCCCGATCCTTCCAGAGCAATCCTTTGTCCCCAGTGGCTGTCTTGAACTGCAAAGTCTCGTATCCTGTGCAGAAGCCACAGATCGACATCGCATCTGCCTCAGCTTGGCAGAAGAGCCAGTGACGCCTCAAGGTCTGTGGACAAGCCATGGTAGGTCCCAAACTGACGCACCCACCGACTGGCAGGTACATAGACATCTAGGCATACAGCATATATATATATAAAGGATTATATATATATATATATGTGTATGTGTATAATCTAGGGCCCTCCCCTACAACAGACACGTGTCTCGAAACCACTGTAAATAGCCATTAAGAGACGTTCTTCGAAAGTCCAAAGCCGCTGCTCCGGAACCTATTCCGGAACCCCCTGGAACCTTCACCGGACCCCGTCTCAGGAAGTCACATCTGCTCCGAAGCTAAACGGGCTGAAAATTCCAAAAGCTCATGCAATTAGGGACAACAACTAGCCCGATTATAGTGGCTATGTTTGTTGGTGTGTCGCCTGTCCTAGCAGCTGTCCTTCCAAAATCCCCGGTCTCTCACGCAACATGACTTCAAAATGATAGGTGGCTTTCGCTTAATGAAGTTATCCGAATATATCCGAGTCATTTGCACTTTTGAACTTGGGAGGTCCAATATTCCCTACCTTATCAAGGAGTAGCCATTTAAGGTTAGTAGTGACCACCCAGTTCAAATGTTTACGTTTGCAAACTTGGGTGGGGTGGGAGGGAAGCTTTTCTTGCTGGCGCATCGATGGTCCCAGTAGCTGTCCTTCATTCCCTTCCAAATTCGGTCATTCCAGCAATATGACGGTAAAATGACCACCTATGTCAATCAAGCTGGCTTCCAATATTGCGACCTTGCTAGGTAGTAGCTATTTCAGAACTGAAAGCGGCCTCCATGTATCCTGACCAGTTCAAAGGATTACATTTTACACGTAAGGAGCTAGTGTCTGATTAGGCAAGTATAATCCTTTCAGGTTTCTTCTGTTCACTGAAAGAATGGGATTGTTCTTACAGTTGCAAGCCGATGTATTTCAATCAATTTCGTTTGTCCTATTTCTAAAATCTGCTGTTGCAGCATCTGGACTCTAACATGACTTGAAAAATATAGCTGGCCTTCCAGTATGTTAATCAAACTAGCTGAATGTTTGGCATGTTTAAGTAGGCGTGGGGGACTCATATGCTCAGGAAAAACTTCCATGTAAATCAAAATCCGCATACGTCATTCAATATGTATGGGCGTACAACACAACATATGCGGCGCAGCCGCATTGGACTCAGTCTCTAGTTGTTAATTTAAGTGATGTCAGTAACAAATGAACATAGTATTGTAAAGTTTATGAACAGAACGTGTTCTCATCACATCCTCTCGCAGGTTAGCAATCAACATAACTTAACCAATTCAGTTAGCATAAGTGAAATCAGCTATAATTACTAAGCTGCTTTCCTGATCTTAACTATTGAGACCATAAAACACTCCTTTATTCTCTTCCCATATTCCTGGCATTGAGGTAGGATTCATTCTAGTTGACATCCGACCAACTCAAACGGCTACACCAACAACTTGAGGGCAACTAATGTCTTATCTAGTTTGTAAAAGATATAACCCGAAAGTTCTGTTCATGTAGTTAACGAAAGCATCGTTAAGAATGGCGTTGAATTTCAAAGCATACAAGGAACACCGAACTACCACCGAGCATGGCTTTCGAGATTTCGGGCCTATGCTCCATAATTGTACAGCTGGAAAATGGTGCAACCTTCCCTATGACAGTCTGTGGTAGGAAGCCTGTTTCTACGTCTGTCCTGGAGTGAGCATACACGTTCATGTGTATGTGTTTATTAATTCATTTATATATTTATATATGTCGACAGATATAGGTACATGTACAGATCTATGTACATGTAGTGCATGTAAATGTAAATCTGTGGTCGTCCCTGATACATGCCTCATATCCATCGTTCTATCTATCTATCTGTCTGTCTGTATACCTGTTTTTGGATGTGTGTTTGCATGCCCCATGATAGAATCAGAAGATGAGGCCCTTCGGCTGGGTGCGCATGATGGCGAGCTGGCGTCAGAACCCAAGAAGCCTTGAGTTCAAGATGCCGGCATGCATCCGGAATCTGTGGGGGCAGGGATGTTTCCCAGTACTAGGCTGCACAGGCTGATGCAAATAGTCAACCTTTGGTGTCGCTCATCCCGTTTGCCCAGCGCACTGACAGTTTCCCAAAACATGGCCTCGAGCTCAGATCCAGCTTTGATTCAGCAATGGTCCCAGTCCAAAAACGTCCCGGTTGTGATTCAGCAATGGTCCCAGTCCCAAAACGTCCCGGTTTGCCTCGTAAGATGTTCCGAAGGCATTCGAGAAAATTCGTTGGCCAACACAGGCTGGGACTCGCCACCAAGACATACCAAGACCGTGGCACTATGGCACCGATGGCAAGACGGAAAGTGTTTCTTTCACTCGCCCTCCTCCGCTGCATCTTGCGCTGCGCTGAGGGCCAAGAAGAGGCTTAGATGCGTTGCTTAAATCTCGATGGGCCTCGAGCCCAAAACCGTGACGTTGCCCCGCTCTTTGTGCCTCCTTCCTCAAGGCTTGCTGGGCTTCTTGGCTCCCTTGTGCATCAGGGTGTATCGGGGGCACCTGACACGTGGCATGTTCAGGCCGCGTGAAAAAAAGCGAAACTGGAGGGTTTTTGCTGTGCGCATCCACCTGGTGAGCTTGAGAATCAAGCTTCAACGAGGTCACAGTTCCTGGCCATCATGCGGCCCGTAGAAGACGAGGAGGTGGCAAAGTGATAGTTGGGATGTGGCAAGTAGCAGTGCAGTGTCCTCAGATGTGAAGAAGGACAGGATCGTTGCGCTGCTGCTTTCAGCAGGTCGAGTCAAACCCCGCAGTATGGGCCAAGGAGATGCAGGCAACGACAAGCTCTGACAGGGAGTGAGAATGCGGAGACTACTGTCGTGATTCATGTATGTACCGTGACATGCCGTGACGGACATGCTGGCAAATAACTGCAGGTTCGTAGTGCGAGGGAACACAAACATCTGTATTGTGTACGGTGCAGGCATGCATTCTCGGACTGGACATGGTCAATGCGTCCATGGAAGTTGTCGTGCAGGTTGGCCAGTCCCCATGCAGACTCCCATTGCAAGTCTCAGGCAGCTGTGCAATGCAATGATTCAGCGCCTTTCTCCAATCTTACATCTTAGATTTGTTGCTCACTTCTAAGACTGCAGGGCTTGTCTTCGGCTTGCGTTGCTGAAAGCTGAGATGTCGACGCAGGGATTACTGCGCATCGGAACGCTGCTGAGTTGTCCGCAGGCCCACCAAGCATAGAGCAGTGTCATCGGGTTTCATGTTCCCTGGCTAACTCATGTGCTTCGGGCGGAAGTAGGGATGCAAAGGCAGATGCAGGGCGCTTCATGAAGTGCACAGTGTGAGCACTCGACCTAACAGTTGAAGCAATGCCCTGCGCTCGGAGCAATGAGCTTGTCAAGGCGCTTTCAAATCACATCTGCAGCAGTTTGTTGAAGTCCAGTCAAGCGAGCGAGATCCAGTTTTTGCCAAATGGATAAGCACTATTTTTTGACGTACCTCGCGTTAAAGCCTTGGTCAGCTCGAACAAGAACTCCAAGATCAACCTATACTACAGTTCACTGGAGACAAGCGCAGCTTGTTTGTCGTGATTTCCTGGCATGGCTCGGGACGTGGCCGCGAGACGGCGGCAGCTTGATGTGGGGAACCCTGGAGTCTTGAGATGTGAGTCTCGTGCGAGGTGCCTGATGTCGCATGGATGTTGTGAACTGCCGTCCGCAAGCACTATCAGGGTAAAGCTATCTGTCGCTTTAGTGCTATAAGTCAGGTGTCATGCCTTCACCGCGGAAGAGTATCTTCTGCTACTTGTCAGCAGTTGTTCCCACGCTTGCCAGATGATTCGTGATCAGCTGGGGGCTTCATTCACCGCTCAGAACACAGGGCAAAGGCACGCCCGACTAATTGAACCCTCTTCCTCCCAACAACTCCTGCCAGAGAGTCCTGTGAGTGCCACGGTTTCTGCAGCTGGTTTAGATAGCGTGGGCTCACAGCCATGTTGCGGCAGAACACTGCATGCTTCTTGAGAGGAATTCTCATTGCGACAATCATCATACCACTCAGTCGGCTAGTTTCTCCCCTGAAGCTGAAAGCTTCTGACTAAGACACAAAGACAACGTTCGCTTCGGTAGAAAGTTGCCATGGAGTGGGAAGTCACTGGCGGTGCGGACAAAGGCGGCTTGACGAACGCAGTGGTTCGAAATTTTGACCCAGAAGTGCCCGCTTTCGATTGCTTGTGATTCCGCTGATTGCTTGTGATTCCGCTGGCGGTCGAAGGGAGCAATGTGTCGACAGGCGGCATTCTTGTGCGGGAAGGGCAGGCGCTTACCTCCAAGGCCAGGGTCAAACACCTCAACTTGGTTTGCCTAGGCCTAGACGAGTTCGGATTTGAACAAGCTTCTTTGATAGTCAGATCTTCAGAGGCTTGCGACGATCGCCTGTCCACCGGGGCGTCCGTGAAGGAGCTGCAGCTCGTCGGCGACAGACTTTGCTGCTTGGAGAAGTTCAGTTGTAGCTGGTCTGCATGATTCCGAGATGGCGGCTTATGCTGTCAGATGCATGCAAGATCTAGCTTTCGCATACTTGCCAGCTCTCGTCTGGGGCCTTGAAATGCACATGCCTTAGCTTTATGAAGGCTTTCCTTTAAAGGGACTGAGCATGAAAACCTGGATTGCGAAGGCATGAGATCTTTATGCTTATGTTGGTGAGAATTTTGCCGAGATATGCTGAGGCTATGAGCTCCTCACAGGCACCGGCCCAAAAACTGGCTGGGCCGCTTGATGAGAACGAAACACAAAGAACACGAATTCATGGCAGTCACTCTTTCCGGCTCTGGTCCTTAGGTTCTTTGTATGCTTTCGCATGCGCATTTGCAAGTTTCTGCAGCTCCGCTGGAGTGTTTACGCTTTCGTCCCTAGTGGAAAAGCTGCACGCAGTACAGAGAACATGCGCTTTGGTTTGCAGAAAGCGAGGTCAGCGTCAAGATCAGTGGGAAAGAGCTCGTGGTCCGAAAAGCAGCTGCGCCGGTTGAGGCTGAACCTTGAAGCATAGAGTCAGGCAGATCAAGCAGAAGGAGCTAGGAGGATGTATCGGCGTGACCCCCGACTCGGTTGTATGTTCGGTGTTGAATGACAACTTGGGCTTCGAGTTGTGAAGGTTTCGTTAGCAAGCTAGCCACGGCAAGCAGCAACATAGTGTGCAGGTTGGACTGCGCGGCAGATCACATCTGCGCTCGTGGAGTTGTAGCGGGGATGGGGTCATCTGATCCCCCTCGAAGATTCTTCAGGCCGTGAAGATGCCCGACTTTGAAAAGCTGGATGAAAGCTATCCGTCAATGAAAAAGGCCCCTGGTTGTTGCGAACCTGCATGAACCTGCATGCCCATGATCCAATGGTCCAATGGCGGCCATGTCAACCCCATGTCTCGAGCAACTTGAGCCCTGAGGGTGCATCTCCCACTGGCAAGACGCCTTGGTTGAAGATGCTCGGGAAGGCCAACGAAAATGCCAAGGGGTGACCTGTCAACAGCATTGTTTCTTTTTGGCGGGGCGCCCGTGCCTGCAGAGCCGCATGCAAAAACAGCAAAGCCACTAGCAGAGCAAGTGCCAAAGCTGGCTGAGGCGTTTGGTCATCTTCTCTTGGACGGGCAATCGTGGTGGACAGGGCTCCGCTCACAACTTCATGAAGCCAGCCTCGCCTGCATGGGCGGAGCACCTGAAGAGCTTTCAGCAGTACGAGGCCATGTCATAGTCATGTAGTCATGTAGTCATGTAGTCATGTGTCATAGTCATGTGTTATACTTTGTGCGCTTTTCGTGGCTTAAGGTGAACTATCCTGGTCGAGGCACCCGCGTCAAGGATCCTCTCTATGAGGATCGGTGTGGTTGAAGCGCTCATAGTTGGTCCAACTAGCACTGAGCTTTGCTTGTTTTGGTGAGTTCTGATCTTGCGGGACTGTGCTATGGTGCCGCGGAGACACTTGCAGCACTGAGCGCTTGAGCCTTGGTGCGCCTGCAGGACCCTGTAAAGTACGTGCAGGATATTGCTTCCGCCCTTCAGGACGGGATCTTCCTATGAGTGTGAGCCAGGGTGAGATGTTAGCCGAGTGCGTGCCGAGGAGGCCTTGAAGGACGGCCTACCTTTCGTGGCTCTGCTTCAGACGATATCAGCCAGACAACACGAGGGCAGAAGAGAGAACGCAATGCAAGGCGAGGCAGGCGGAGGCGGAGTCTCTAGAGTCGGAAGTCTTAGGTGTTGCTGGGTTTCTCCTTCGGCTCCGTGTTGGCGATGGAGGTGGCAAGGCCACTTTGGCTGCATTTCCCCCGGTTGGGGGAGCCACTTTACAGGGCTTGCAAGCTCAGGGGTTTTGAGGGGCTTTGGGGGGTTGTGAGGGGGGGGGCTCTGAGGGGTTTAGAGCGCTTTAGGGGTCTGGGCGACGTGTTCCTCGGAAGCACTGAAGTCTCAGAAGCACTTGGCTTGGGGTATTGGGGTCCCCCTTCTTCAACGCATACAGCCCTGAAGACCAGAAGACACGTTTGAGCTGACTCCTTTCTTCCAGCTCGCTTGGCGCCGTTTCAGGCCCGCTGGCTGCTAGGACATACTTTCTGTGGCTGATAACATCGCGGCATCAGGTCTTTGCAGGCAAAAGACATGGGCCCCCTGGCTGTCGTGGCCGTCAGTGCAGAGGCTCCCTGCCGCCTGGAACCCTAGTAATCCCCAGTGGCGGCGCCCAAAGTGCGCACAGCCCTGCATCCGCCGTGTCCTGTTTGAAGTCGCATTTGGGCTCAATTTCTTCGCAGGCGCCACAGTGGCCTGGCCGCTCACGCCTGGGTCTGGCCAACCTCGGCGAGGCGCGGTGGGAGCCCCGGAAGGCTGCGGACGGCCCGATCTTGGCAGCTTCTGACGCTTCCTGCCCTCTGATCTTTGCTCCAAGGTTTGAGCAGATGCTGAAGGACAAGGGTGGGACGGAGTTCATCTTACAGGACCCAGGCATGAAGAAGATGTTTGTGCCGGTGATCACGGCCGACTGCAAGCTAGAGGAGAACTACAGGTTTGATGCCTCTGCTGGACCGCTGAAGTGTCCTCTGCTTGTCTTTTATGGCAAGAAGGAAGGCCATGACAAGATGAAGACTGTCATTGATGCGGAAGCCGTTGAAGCGTGGATGGAGCTCACAGCCTGTCCCAAGCTCTCAAAACTGCAAGCGCTGGAGAGCGATTGGCATCTTGGCACCAGAGAGGAACTACTGCTTTTCTGCTTCAGAGGCAGTGCTATCTTCGGGGGGGGGGGGGGGGGGGGGGGGCGGGGCAAGATTGAAGAGTTCGTGGCTTGTCGTTAGGATGCAAGCTGCAAGCCGACTCTGGTTTCGGTGGTGTTTGGAGCTTCTGGTTGTGGTGCTCATCTCATCTGTCGCAACTACTCCGCCTGTGCGGTATGTCTGAGTTGTTCAGCGTGAAACCAGTTTGGCAGTTAGTTTTCAGGGGTGTTAGGGAAGGCACGAGCTGCCGTGAGTGCTGTTTCCGTCTCTGTTCAGGGCCGGCTCTTGCATAGACCTCGCTTCTCATCGAGAGGCAGGCTGTTGAGGTTTGTGTTCCTGCCCATCGCCGAGCCGGTGGCAGTCAATGGCAGCCAGTGGGGCAGAACCTTCTGGGGCAGCGCACCAAAATCGGCACAAGCACTGTTGCTCTAAAGAGCCACAAATCAAGCTCTGTCAGGGCCTGGCTGCTCCAATCCATTCAAACTCATTGCAAGTTCAAAGACGGCAAAGGCTTCCTTAAGCTTTGCAGGCTCTTTTCACTCTCTTAAGCTCCTCAAACGCTCCAAATTCCCTCCCTAAACTCTCTTAATCCTAAACTCCTCCAAGCTCCTCCAAGCTCTCGAAGTTTTCTGGAACATCCTCTAACCTCCTGTAACCTCCTCAACCTCTAAGCTCCCAGGTATGTCTTTCAGGATGCTGGAGCGACTGAAGCAGTTGCAGTAGGAACCGGGGAGCTGTGTAAAGACAAGCTGGAAGGCTAGCGAAGGCTAGTGAAGGCCAGCTCCTTTCTCTATTTCTTTTCTCTATGCTATTCATCTTTTGAAGATGATCATGGGTCATCTCTGCACTCGCAGCATGGCACCGCACCAGAAGGAATGCGCCGCCGCGAAACAAGGTATGTGCGACGTGGTTCAAGGCTGCTGACTGACATATCCCCCTCTCAGACTGGGGCAGTGATTCGTGCTCTGTTAGGTTGGTTTCGGATTGGATGGGAATGAGGGCTCTTTTGTAGGGGGTTAAAGGCCGTTGGGGGTCTTCGGAAGTTCCCGAAGGACTGAGAGGTCCCAGAATGCAGGAAACAACACCAAATCTCACGGACAGCCCAACTCCACCGAATGGCGGTGGAGTTGAGATAGATCTTTTTTTAGAGTTTAGGGGTTTAGGGTTCCGTTTAGTGCCGTTCATCGAATGCTTCGCAGATGAGGTCGTGGTGGCTCTTTCCACTGTGCTGGCCTTGTGTGTGCCCGAGTCTTTTCCAATGCCAGAAGCATCCAGCAGCTTCGTTCCTTGTGCATCTTGAAAGGAACTCGATTTCTGGCTTCGTGCTGGTGGGAAGGTGGAATTTGCTACGTTGCAGAGTTTGGGGCCCATGTGCTAGTAGGAATGAGCGTCTTCCTGTGTTGCTCTTAGCCGCCAGGCCAAAGCCTGATGTCCAGAGGCTGCAAGGCATAGCAGATCGTCGGACTTGAGCGGTGTTATGAGCTAGTGTCCCGTGGTGCCACACATCCTGCATGGTGGGGGCTTTTACCTCTCAGGCCTACTAGGCAACGAGACACGTGCAACACCAGGGCCTATGTTGCAGAGTAGCGGTATGTGATTTCCCCCCCTCCCGGTACTTCTTCAAAAGGCCACGTAAGTTCTGGCGAGGAAAGCGCAAGTTACGCACCAATCGGAGAACAGTGCAGAGCCCTACACTCAAAAAAACCACATATGCCACATGAATTACTTGTGCGAGTTGGGGGCTCCAAAAGGCACAGCTCTAATTTGCGGGTGGCGGCATGCTCATCGAAGCTGGTGTGCCGATTCAATCCATTTTGGGAAACGTTATCATGCTTCTGCTATTGCAGACATGTCTTTGTGTCTCGTTGAGAAGCGATGGTCACCGATGATTGAGAGTGTTGCAGAAGCATGTCGCATGATCCTTGGCTGTAGTGTGGTGCTGCGCCTGTGCCAGTGTTGGGGGCGTCAGCAGCTCCCTATAGCGCAGCGCCGCTGCCCCTGTCAGCCTGTCATTGCAAGGGGCGTAGTTTGACTGCGGAGGGGTGTGGCTTCGCCCAGCTGACAAGGGCAAGCAACTCATTGTGGTCTGACCGCCTCCAAATGAGGCCACCGGACAAAACCGCCTTGCTCCTTGCTGTTCGCCAAGGTGGGTTTTTGCTTTGCAAGCTATGAGTAGGCCATGCAAGGTGGGGCATCGCAAACAGTGACAAGACCTTGACATGTTACTATATTGCTCATGTGCAGGCGTTGCTGAGCGAGGTGGCACTCAGATTTGGCAGGCTTCTGCCTTCGCTGCCAGTCAGAGTTGCATTGAAACGGTTTGCAGAAACTTAGCTGTTCTGTGCTTGTCGGGCCGAACAAAGGCTGCAGCGCAGGCGCTTGCACAGAATCTGGATGGAAGCACCTGGGGCAGATTTCAGCAGAGGTTCAAATGATACGAAGAGGACTATTTCAATTCCTGGCAAGCCGATTTTTGTGCAAGATATGCCGAGGCCAAGAAGATGCTGAGCTCGTCCTTGCCAAGGCGCGCAACGCGGGGCAACGCACAGTCGGAGAGCTGTGCCCTTTAACATGGAGAGAGTGAAGCGAGTGAAGAGGGCTCCTTTCTTTGGAATCGAGGCCGGAGAGTGACCACACTTCTTTTCTCGGGGAGTGAGTAGTGTGAATTGTGTGATGGTGATGGTGGCCGTGACAAGAGGTCCTTGACGGCACAGCACGACCACGACGACGATGATGATGGTGATGATGGTGATGATGGTGATGATGGTGATGATGAAGACTACGGCTACTGCGTCTAGCAGATGCCCGCGACTGACTACTGGTGTTCCCACTGCTCCTACCGCTCTTTGTATTTCTATATATTCCACGACCTCCACAGTGCAGATGGCTTGCCCTGTGCGGCAACATGTCTTCGGTTGAGTTACGCCTCTTCAAGTCCTGCGGAGGCCTTCGGCTGGACAGGGTGGTTTCAGCTCAACAGGCCACCAAGCTCAGGGCAGTTGGTTTGAAACGGATGACGAAGCTCCAAGACGTTGATGTCTGAGGCCAAGCTACCTCAAGCCCAAGCTTCCGCCGGCCAGAGGCCAAAGGTGGCCCAAACGCCGTTAAACGCCGTTCGAAGCCATTCAAAGCCCAAAAGGAGCAGAGGGTTGTGATCGCTGCGTTCGTCTCTACCGCGCCGAGGCTCCGGAGCAGGTCTCTGGAGCGCTGATGCCTCAGCAAATCTGAGCAACACACAGAGGCAGACTAGAGGCAGGTCATGTGCAGACAAAATGAGCTACATGCCAATTCCAACTTGATTGTGCAGAGGGCTTGCCGTCTGTGGGCACATGTTCCATGCGCAAGCCGGAGCACGCTGTTGCGATGCGCGTTGCACCCTTCGCACTTTGGGAAGCGCCTCCGAGAGAGTCCCATCTCAGGCTGCCCTGACCCGTTTGCTTCCCTTGAGGCTTCGGTGGCTCAGGGAGGGCCCATTGCAGCTGACAGCTGAGCCCCTCGCCCAGACTTTCCCAATGGATCGACGAAGCCTTTCGCCGCAGATCTGAGGCAGTTGCGCCGGGCCCTGGCGGTCAAGCCCCTGGTGTACTTAAAGGACGCTGCCCGAAGCCTCTCGGATCTGTCGTGGAGCTCCCACATGATCTGGGTCTCGAAAAGGAGCCACAGGCTTCCTATGAACGGGCTCTGCAGGCCCGGACTTGAAAAAACTCAAGAAGGACCCTATGCCTCATGCCTCCTCTGAGTCCTTCCAAGCATTGCACAATGGGGGGACCTTTCTTGCACCGTCGCCAGGTGGCGCCGGAGCAGTGGCGCTCCCCGCAGGCTTTCAAAGCGCTTCTGCTGCGGGAGCCGCAGGTGTTGGACCTGCCCCTTGGCCTTGGGCTATAGGGTCTTCAGAGAATTCCAAGGCTTCAAAGGCTTCCCCAAGGCTTCAAAGGCTTCAATGGTCAAAGGGATAAGAGGAGTGGATCAAAGGGTAGTGGGCTCACGATTTGACAAATGCCAGGACGCACAACTGCCTGCTTACAGATCCGGCGGACCGTGGGCACCCTACGTATGGCTAATCTTCGGGAATCTTGCTGAGAAGTGTCAGATGCAACATGCAGGCCCGTAATCAGCAGTGTCACATCGCCGCAAGCTAAGAGCTGCTTCTGATCACATTGAGGTGTCAAAGATGAGTGGGGCGAAGCCGTCCACTGCGATGGTAAGTGCGGCTTGGACTGTCTTGGTTGCCTGAAGTCGTGGTTGAGCGACTTCGCGTGTTGGGCTCCTGCCTGATTGCTCTGACCTCTTTGCAGCAAACTTGTTTCCGGAGCAGCACGCCGAGGCACCCACTGCTGGCGGACTGCCACTCCAAAGCTGATGGGCCAGGACGGCCCGTCTTGATTGATGCCGGCGTCTGGCGGAGGGCTTCAGCAGATGTTGTTTTCGGCATCTATATCTAAATGCAGGGCTTGCTCTCAATCTCTACGTTTTTTGGGTCTCCGCCTTCTTATCAAACAAAGCGCCGTCATGCGAGGTCCCGACACTTTCCATGCACCTTCCCGTGATGGCACATTTGCTGGTGTACTGCTGCTGACTTCTGGGCAGGTCTTGGATGGCGTGGAGGTTTAGCTTGCAGAAGACAAAAGAACGGAAGCTTCGTGCTGCACATCTCATGCGAAAGCCATCAAGAGCTGCTATAGTACGTGTCAGCAGTAACATTTGGAGCAATGTTTAGGGTCTGGGGTTGCGTCTTTAAAGTGAGTTGGAGCGGACGTCCCCCTGTTCCAGGCTCTTATGCGGCAAGCATTTGAAGATCCGAACGTGAAGTTCGATTTGAAGGCGGGAAGGCCAACATAGATCATAAAGGCATAGCCGACAACGAACACACATTCTGCCTTTGCGAGATGATGCAGAACTTTCTGACCAGCGTCCTTGAGCACCATGCGAAGGCCTTTGCCCAGTTTGTTGGCCCACTTTGGTGGTGGGCACTTCTTTGCTCGCACCGTCAGTGTTTTTCCAATGTTGGAGTGTCGATTTTTCCCCAGGCATGGGATGTCAGAGTGGCAGCTGCTGGCCGGGAGGCCGTCTGAAGCTCGGGTTCAAGAGTGGTTCAAGTCAGCTGCGCCTGAGAAAAGTCAACAAGTTCACGAAAGTTCACAAGAATTCACAACAGTTCAGAAGAGTTGCACGAGGGCGGCTTCTTCTGCACAGGGTTTCATTTGACCAAAGTCGGCTTCCCGAACTCCAGTTCTGCATCTTTTCTCTCGTGCTGCAAAGAGTATTGGAAATTTTAGTGGAAATAGCCTTGCTAAAACACGAAGTGGAGCCTGTTCTCACCATCATGTCGGGCTCGGGCACTCCAGCGTACATGATCGCCAATCGACTCTGAAGACTTCCCGCAGCTTCAGCTTGAGTGGCGGCCTTTGCACTTGATTGGGCCATAACAGGTGGGCCAGCGCGCATCTATCCGCCGCCTTGAGCTGTGATACGGGAAGGCCTTTCGTGCCATGGATGCATGCTGAGGACCCTTGCAGAAAGCAGCAGTGAGTTCCGCCGGTTGAGCGAGCACGTGGTCCGAACTGGCGCAGCACCTTCCCGTGATCGCTTTGGCAGCAGCGAACGCACGGTGCAGAAGGCCCTGCAAGTCTTTCGAATAGAGCGAATCTTAATGTCGGATGCAGAGACGAAGTACCGTGAGCAGCGAATGAATATGTTTCTGGATCGAGGTGCCTCAAGATGTGAACTGCAAGACTGCTGTGCCTTGCGACCCGATTCGTTTCATGACCTCGACATTGGCTTGGACGAGCTCCTGTTGTACCATGGTTGTCGAGCAGGCAGTATTCATGGGATTCTTCACGAGGGCTTTGATCCTTCCCGCTCTGGAGAGCGTGCCGGTCAGTTCTTTGGATGTGGTACCTACTTCGCTGACGTCGCTGCAAAGGCAGACAGTTACGTAGACGTAGCTCCTGACGGCGTGAGATGCATCATTGTCGCGCAAGTTTGCCTTGGGAAGGCGTTGAGAGCTCTCCGTGCCATGCCAAGATTTCATCCAAGCTGCAGGGAAGCTGAGGACGAGGGCCCCGCCTGCGATTCTGTGATAGGAGAAGACACGAAACATGGTGGAATCTTGGACCACAGAGAGTACGTGATATATCGGGGTGCGCAGGCCATTCCGCGGTATCTGGTTTGGTATCAGCACTGCGAGGGCTGCAGCTGTTTTAGGTGCAGGTCGGCCTTACACTCTGCTCGGCCGATGGCATTGCCTCCATTGCGACTGCCTGCTGCGGCTTCAAATGCTGCGGGCGCAGTCGCGGGCAGCACATCGCCCGCTCCGCCAGCCCCGCGGTCCATCTCCGCGAGGAGTGCACGAAACAGAGCGACGACAGCAACTCAGGCAACACTAGCTGATGAAGCTGCAGCTTCCTCATTTTCCTCACTGCAAAGGCGAGGCTTGCGAGCGACCAGCTGGGAGCGACCCCGGAACAAAAGCAACAAAGATGCTTTGAGCCACGGTGCAACAGGATCAACTGCCGCATCAACTGCCAGAAGCCCGAATCCTCGCGTAGAAAGTGAACGCTTCTCAGCAGCTCCCTCTTTATGCCCCGGGAAAGTCCACAGCAGACCCCCGAATGCTGAGGCAGAGCTGCTCGCCTTGGCGGCCTTGCGCCAGCGCGGCGAGGCCTCTCAAGCTTGACAAGCGGTGCCGACATGCTCCGTTCGATGTTCTTTGTGGGAGAGCGGTCTTGGGTTTCGGGATCATTCAGGGCTGTTTGTGAGTCCTTCCTCCGTAGCTTGCAATGGTTGTCTTTACTTTGCGTCATGTCGCCTCGTCGGCTCAGACTGCGAAGCCGGGTGTGAACTCCAAGACTTCGCAGCTGGTATCACAAGCTTGCTTGCTAGCTGAACTATACCTCGAATCGCAACACAGAAGAGAAAAACAACAACTGTCGACCGCTTGCAGCCATGGACGATGAAGGGGAAAATGAGTTCGTCGTCGAGCAGGTCAATGAAGTCGTGAAAAACGCCATTACCAAGACCCTTGGAGGGCCGCGTGTCAAGAAGACGGTCTCACCACGTGGCCTCAGCCTCTGCAGCACTTTGCCTTAGGTCGCAGTACAGCAAGGAGCGCGTCACTTCGTGGACTAACCAGATCATTGACGAGTGCTTGAAGGATGAATGCTAGCAGTCTGCCACCATGAGTTTAGAGATGCTTTGCTGTCCAGACTCTCGGGCATTTGTGTATCTCTCCTAGTTTTTACTCGTTCACGCTGGCTTCATGTTCAGAGGAGCTTGCAAAGCTGAACAAGCCCTTCAAATATGTGACGTATCTGAATCGCGTTCCCGCTTCTTGCCATGGCCCATAATGGCCCGACATGCTAAGAGCCTGGTCCATGCAGGTTGTCACCTGCATCATTATGCAGAAGAGTGGCGCGCCACTACACACCGGTATTGCCTTGCACTGGGACACGAAGACAGATGGAACTGCATGCGTGCAAGTGGGGACAGACACCATGGACCCTGGGCAGCATTGATCGGAAAGTCAAGTTCTCAAGGGTCGGGAATACTTTGCAGCTGTACTCAGCTACTATGTCTGATCTGGCCGCAGGGATAAGCGGGTGCGTGGGATCCGCTTGGGGATTCTGGAGCCGTTTCCCAAATCCAAGGACTGCATCACGACCGTGTGCGCATGAGCCTTGTCATGCCTTACTTAGATATTTCTGTTTTTGCCTGGAGTGACAACTACCGTATGCAGGGGAATCAGGCACTGCGTGCCGAATGGACCAGAAGATTGTGCGAGGTATGATTTGAGCCAGCAGAGTCTGCCGACATGCCCAAGCCGGAGGTGCAAGGAGGCCCCCGAGTATTTTGCTTTGACTGTCAAAGCCAAGAACCCTGCCCAGCGGCTTCAAGTGTCACGAGTCTGATCGCCTTTGAATCCTTAGAGCACCCTGCACGGCGCTGTGGTGGACTTGTCACCTGATGCAAAGGCCCAGAACGAGGACGACGTTGAGGAGTGCTTGGAACACAGTTTCACTGTTCATAGAATCCTGATGCATTGCAGGCAACAAAAAGTTCCATGGGCCAATGACACTGCATGATGCTTGCGACACGCTGCATGTTCACGTGCAGCCATCCTTGACTTCTTGTTTGTTGCCGTGTCTGCGACTTGTGCCCCGATGTTCGCAGGCTGAGCTGGGTCTGTGATGGGAAGGAGACCTCCACCCTGCATGTGGCTGCATTGGCTCAGGCAGCAGGGTGAAGCACACCCAGTTGACCTCAAAGAGGTGTCTGCTGCTGCAGTGTGGAGCTATTGAAAGCGGTCGCCTTTGCAAGAAGATCCCCGAGCAATGGACGATGAAGGAGAGAATGAGTTTGTCAGCGAGCAGGTCAACGAAATTGTCAAGAACGCAATCACCAAGACTCTTGGAGGGCCCGGAAGTTTCCACACAAGCAGCATGTGCGCATGAGGGTTCAGGTGTTCAGCTTTATCTTACTAGCCCTGTCAGGTCGCAGTACAGCAAGGAACGCGTCACTTCTTGGACGAATCAAATCATTGATGAATGCCTAAAGGACCTGGGTCGCAATTCTCATGTAGCTTGGGCTCCCTGCCTTTCCAGTATTTACCAGTTGGTGGCAGGTTCTAGAGTGCCTTGCAGGAGCTTGCAAAGTTGAACAAGCCTTTCAAGTATGCAGCTTGCCCACACTTCTTATTAGTTTGACGCGCGCCCCTGCTTGAGTGGTTCAACAATGCAATTCAATACCCCATAGTAATGTTTTTCCACTGCAGCAAAGGTGGTCACTTGCATCATCATGCAGAAAAGTGGTGCGCCGTTGCACACTGCGCTGACACTGCACTGGGACACGAAAACCGATGGCACCTCATGCGTGCAAGTGGGAACCGATACCATGGCCCCTCGCTTTCACTTTGGAACTAGGCATGTCACGAGCCAGAGACGACGAGGGAGGAGAGAGAAAAAGAGCGAGGGAGCTCATGAACGAATGTGCGTTCATCACATCGCATCAGCGTTCAAGTTCGGACGCCCAAGTTGCCAGTTCGATGATGAATACGATCAGCTGCCATCAATGTGCGTCATGCTGTCTACCTGTGCTAAGGATTGCATCACGACAGTCTGTGCATGAAGCTTGTCTGAGGGTTGTACTGCCTGTCCATCCATGCGCTAGTGTGATCGAAGCTGCTAGAACATATGTTCGGCTGCGCATGCTACGCCGTGAATGAAGACACAAAACTGCCCCGAGGCATGATCTGAGATCTCGTCGGTAGAACTTTGAGAAGGAGCGAGTTGGCAGACGGCAGAGCTCCTTTGTCCGATCTTTAGCTGTGAGCCTTCACTTCTGCAACCATCCCAAACAAAGCTAACACGTTGCATAAGAGGTGAAAATCTGCCTGAGCCCCCGCCAGCTCCAGTTGAATCGTGCTCACCCATCGCCACCAATGCGGAGAGCCGAAGCTGTCCCCAAAAGTGTTCTCAAGATGAAGCATCCTTGGGCCTTGGTAGTGCTGACGGCTTCTGCACTGGCACTTGTGGCCAATGCATGATGTGCTGAGAATAGCATCTTGCTGATGTACAGTAGCATTCCTGCTTTGCAGCTTTGCATCCTTGCCGTATGACAAAAAGAGAGAGAAGGGAATGTAGGGCGCTGAAGTGCGCAGTTGAATGGTGCGTTTGCATTCACATCAGCGGCAACTGCCTGTCGCCGTTTGCCATCTTCGTGCCAGGCCGTTGACGATGGGACGGAAGTGTCGATCAGTCTCTGAGCGCGATGGCGAATGCCAACGAGATGATAGTTCGTTAAGGTGGTCATCCCCCACCCCCAGCATCTGCAGTTGGTGTCCCAAAACCCTAAGCCCTAAACCCTAAACCCAAAACCCTAAACCCAAAACCCTAAACCCTAAACCCTAAACCCTAAACCCTAAACCCTAAGCCCTAAACCCTAAACCCTAAACCCTTAGCCAAATGTCTTTGTCGCCTCGGCGCTGGCAAATGCCAGCCGGGGGTTTTTCCACACAGTGCCCTCAAGTGGGTGCTGCTGTCACGATTTCAAGGCGGATGAGGCAAAAGATTGACAACGACCTACTGTGAACTCCCTAAACCCTAACCGTAAACCCCAAACCCCAAACCCAAAACCTTAAACCCTCAACCCTAAACCCTAAACCCTAAACCCTAAACCCTAAACCCTAAACCCTGAACCCTGAACCCTGAACCCTGAACCCTGAACCCTGAACCCTAAGCAGCTACAACCACCTACGGATTGAATTGCACAGCAAGCCCAAGCCTTTGGCGCCGAGCTGCCGCAGCCCAAAGCTTGTGCGACCGAGACGGGTTAACACCAAGAGCCCTACTACCCTTAAGAAAAAGAGGGCTTAGGGTTTAGGGTCTAGGGTCTAGGGTTTAGGGTTGAGGGTTTAGGGTTTAGGGTTTAGGGTTTAGGGTCTAGCGTCTAGGGTTTAGGGACAGACAAGGTGGCAGCCTTGCCCAACATCCCACAACACCCAGCATACTCAGCATACCTAACATGCCCAAACGGCCCGCAGACCAGGCAGACCTCCCCTTAAACACAGGTGTTTCCTTGAGCCACAAGACCCCAACAACCTCAAGTGATGTAGGTTTTTCTTTCTTGTAACCCCAAAAGGACACCAAATGTATACACTATTATACAATCACCAATACTCGGAACCTTATACACTCACCAAAAACAGTAATATAAACCCTGCTCCAAGTGCTTAAAGCCCTGTTTGCAAACAGCGGCAACATGTGGAAACCATGTGGAAACCATGTGGAAACCCCTCGAGACTACTCTCCTGAAACTAGGTCCCACAACTTCTCCGACGCTTGCCATCGCTACCGACCCCACAGCTTCCGTTTGGTTAAGCATGACTCGCATAAGCAATTCAGGCGTCTCCATGAGCAAGAGATTCTTTAGCTTGTCAACCACATCTCCGCCTGTGTACACGACAAGCTGCAGCATTGCCGAGATTGTCGGCATTGATCAGCAAATCAGGTCAGCGGTTTTTTTTCTTTCACTTTTGTGCTTCTTCATGATGCCTCGCCCGGCGCGATGCGCCGCCGCCGCGGCCCGGTCTCAGGACAAGGCCGAAAACTTTGAAACCCAACTGAGAAGAGGGCGAGGAGTAAGAAGGGAAACGTGCTGATGTGCTATCTCATTCAGGAGGCCTCGAGGTGCCTTCAGACAGTGAAGACGACAGGACTGCTTTGGCTTAGGGGGCTTTGGCTCTTTGCAGCAGCTGGATGTAGCTGCTCACGAGAAGCCTGAACCCGAGTCGAGAACAGAAATGATCCCCCCCCCCCTCGGCGGAAAACATGCACAGCCCCTGACAATCCTGGCGGAACTGCGGCTTCAAGAGTCAAACTGCAAGTATCCATGTGTCATGAAAGCATCATCTCCTGGGATATCTCAGCATGGGTGAGCTTCAGTGATTCTGAGATATGCGGGCTGTTCCCACGCCGGGCACCAACTTAACAGTGGCGTAGTGCGCCCCACGGATGTCTGCAGGTGCATAGCATGAGCCCGAGCAAGAGAGATTTGTTGTCTACTTTTCTGCTGTGAAAGGCATGTAAAACAAGTTCCTGTCATGCCACCACAGCAAGTTGCGTTACTTTCTCAACGGATGCTTGTTGAAAATGCCCTTGCTTGGCCGTCTAATTCGGCGGCCACTGGTGGTGGTTGACATCTGAATCTTTCACGGAATATTACAAACAGAGGAGTGGCAGGAGCTTTGGAGATTTGCATGTAGCATGCCTCAGCTGGGACTGCCAGGCCTCTATGTGACAGGTTTTGTTTTGGCAAGTCTTTGATGGCCGCTCGTTTGGTGGCTAGGACGCAACTTTCGCTGCAGGGAGTACCCGACTTACCAAGCCGAATGGCTCACTCAAGTCATACAGCCTTGCAAAGAGATGGCCTTGTGTCGTTGAGCTGCGTCTTGCTTTGCTTCCTGAGATTCTGCGCTTTGCTGCCGGCCTCGACTCCCGCCTCTTGACACCAAATGCATGCGCGGCAGAGCCTTTTTTCATGTGTTCTGAGTATTCTGTAGAGCATGTCTCTGGCAGCAAGCCGTCTTTTGCAGCACTTTGCGCCTCAAGCAGATGCATCAACTATTGGTCATTGGCCGTGTGACGGCCACACTTGAGAAGCAAACTCATGGTTTCCGCAGCAAGGCATCTTGCACATTGGGCGGCCTCGCATGTTGTCCTGAAGACACCGAGGAGCAGCCTTTTGTGCCTCAGCGCCGCCTCCACTTTCGCCAGGGGCCTGCAATCCCCAATGCATCGGCAGCTGTAAGAAGTCGAATCGCTCAAAATCAGAAGGTCTTGCGTTGTGCATGCGCCAAGCATTTTCTTGAATCGTGCTTCGCACTTCCGCTCCAACCTGATCTTGAGGTCTGCTATCTGTGCGTTTCTCGGGTCGCGCGCTTGGAAGATCACAGACAGCGAAGAGAACAATCTCCACGGACTGTTCCGTCTGTGCATGTCTGGTCACGCCCACGTTCAACTTGTGTGCAACCAAGAGCTTCTGTAGCCACTGTAGCCGTGACATGCTACGATGCTTTGGGGACTTCGCTGCTGGACTTAGCTACTGTGTGCTCACTCTGATCTCCACATATCTCGGTGCTTTGCTGAGAGCGTGCAGCTGCGTGCTGCTTGGCCGGTGCGCGGTCGGCTGGCAGAGGTTTGTGCCGACAGGACCATTCTGGCAAGCACTGGCAAGCGCTGTCGCGCATGTCACAGCGCAAGGGAGCTCAAGGTCGCTGAAGGATGAAGGCCCCCTGGCCAGGACTTGATCGCGAGACCCTGCAGCGATGGGTTTTCGAGAATTGGCTTGCAACTGAGTGGCGCTCGAATCCTCAAACATGTTTCGAAGCCTTTTGAAGCACTTTTCAACGTGTCTCACCTCTGGTCTTGTGTCGGAGGCCGAGCCCAACGACGGTGGCTGAAGTTGGCCAGTCTGAGGCATGCCAAGGATGCAAAACACGGGCCGGTCCAACTTGCGCAGGCCTTGTAGTGCTTTATCCGAGAGGTGAATGCCAATTGGATGGTTGCCTTGACCTCCATGCCTCAGTCTCAGCACAGGCTGGTATAGACACAGTGGCTTGTGACATCCTTGAGCCGAGCTGCTGAATATGTCGAAGATCTTGCGCTCAAGCATCTGGGGGCTGTGGGCAAACAAGTAGCGACAGCGTACTATTCGGAGCAGCTCGAGAGCCTCGTTCCTAATCACGCGGCAGACATGTAGGCGATTGAAACCTGGGGAGGGACTACGACTATGAGAGCAAGGAAGCTACAGAGCGCCGACCGGGCGCGTCCAATAGAACAAGAAAGAAATGAAGAGAAGACTCGAACCTGAGCCACTGAGCTTGGTTGACTGGGCGAGCTCCGACGTGCCACGCAATGTGCCGTTCAATTTTGCGTCGATTGGGAGGCAAACTGGAGGCATTTGTTTGCGTAGTACGTGGTTTGGGGAACGTTGTTGCTCACTGGCAGAACACAATGAGGGAAGCTCGAAGGTGGGCTCAATAAACCCCGTGGGGGGGGGGAAGGGTTCAAGCCACGATTGTGAACAGGGGCACGCGAAGTGCGCAGGGGGACAGCCCGAAGAAAGAAGCAGTGGCATAATGGAAGAAGGAATAGCCAAACCAAGACGAACAGCATAAATAAGGCAAGGGAGCCGGGGAGATGTGGGACCACACCAAGTCGGGGATGGGATCCTGGTTTTGCGAACTCCTTAGGCCTTGGCACGCTGAGAAGAGGAGAATAAGAATACACTCAACATCCCTGGCCAAACGAGTGGTATGAAGCAGTTGCCAATGTGAGGTCAAACTCGTCAGGTGTGGCAAACATGCTAGACACTGCGGCAGCCTTGGGCGGACGAAGCAGCTTCTGCGCTTGTGGGCGGCGCAATCCCGGATGCCCCACATCACCTGGAGGCATTTGCAGTTTTTGCACGAGAGCCAGAGGCGCGCGTGTTCATGCAATTGGTCGCCATCGGATGCAAGCATACCGAAGCGACAAAGTTGTAAAGCTTTGCCGTACGAATTTTCCTTTGTATCGAGGCCTTGGTCACAGCAGATAGCCGAGGCCAAACCCCCCTCCATGTGAGAGGCTCAGTGAGAAGCGCTGAGAGTGTGGCCTTTTCTCGGCCTTCGTTCCAGGTCGCTGCCAGGCGGAAGTGCCCTTCTCTAGTGCAGCTGCTGCTGGCCGCGCTCCTCAGCTTAGAGTCGCAAGCTGCTCATGGCGATGAGAGACGAGGCTTTCGGAGTCCGCAAGAGTCGATGAACTTGACTTGTGAAGAAATCAGGATCTCAGAGCTTGCCCGCATGTGGCCGGGTCCGGGCGACAGACTGTGAAGTCATAGAAGTCAGCTTTTTCTGTAGAACATGGCTGGCTGACGATGATCTTTTGATCACGGCACAGTGTCTACAGCAGGCGTGAGCCAACTCTGGAACTCCGAAGCGGCAAAACGAATAAAGCAAGGCTAAGAGGGGGCGACATCTTCAACCCGGACTGAACTGCTCAAAGGTGCCGAGATGGACGTTCCGCGCTCCACCTGGCTGCTGCAAGCAGCGATGTGGAGTCTGGACCTGAACGTTGCACAAGGCTTTGCAGCAAGATTGCACAATGCTGCGCAATGGTGCACGACATTGCGTGTACGAGAGTTGTGGGGTCCGGGGGGGTTTGGTGCTGGGAAGGTCCGTGCGTCGGCTCCTGGCCGCCCGAGCCAACCCAGATTCTCGTGATCAGCTCAGGCACGCGAGAAGCCGTAGCGCCGTTGTCTGCGTTTTCAGTTCTGAGTTCACTTCTCACATCCATCGTTGGAGCATAAGCGCTTCTTCTTCCAGGAAATCGGGCCTCCTCCTTTGGACATAAACAAAACAGTTCATGTCTTTCTGAATTTTCTCGGCCTGCATGTGGAAAATGGGAGGGTGCACGATGTGGAAGGGGCTGGTGACTAGGGTTTTCGAGTCAACGGCATAAAATCACAAAGCTTGCGTAGTCTTGGGTGGACACGCGAGAAACTGCGAGAAATACGTCTTTCTTGCCTCAGTATCCACTGACCAAACTCTGTCACCCCAAGCTGAGCCTCCGTGAATGTGAAACCCTAAGCTCTAAGCCAGGCAGTAGCACTGTGCAGCTCGAGCTTAGCTGCGCCAGCTTGCAGCACCGAAATCATGGGATCAAAGTGGCCATCCATGAATATCAATCGCCACAGAAAGGCTGTCTACGGCTACTGAGCTTTGGAAGAACAGAGAGTCTGTCGAGGCTGAGTCTCAAGAGTGGAGATCGAGCTTGTTGCTCTGGGATTGCAAAGGATGTGAATCGCGGCCTAAGCTAAGAACAACCACAACAACATGGTGTAAGAATCTTGGGTCAACAAACGCTCGCCATGTTTGCTGCAAAAGTGAAGGATGCTGCCCTTGGACATTGCAGTTCGAGTGCGAGCGCAAGACGTCCAGGAGGCCTGCGTGTCTCTTGGGTCTCGACACCATTGCGAAGCTGCAACGCTAAGAGTGCATGATGTGAGTGAATGGTCCAGTGCATGGTTGTACTCATTTGAAGTTTCTGCCTTCTGCCAGATGTGCATCCTCTGTGGCCAGGTTCTTCTCGCCCGCATGGCTGGATCTCCAACAGGGTGTCCTGCCAGCTGTCAGGGGCAATGTGTTTGTCTGTTTGTCTCTTTGTCTGTGTCGGTGTCTGTGTGTCGTTGTGTCTTTGTGTCTTGGTGTCTTTGTGTCTTTGTGTGTTTGTGTGTGTTGTGTGTTTGTGTGTTTGTGTGTTTGTGTGTCTGTGTGTCTGTGTGTTTGTGTGTTTGTGTGTTTGTGTGTTTGTGTGTTTGTGTGTTTGTGTGTTTGTGTGTTTGTGTGTTTGTGTGTTTGTGTGTTTGTGTGTTTGTGTGTTTGTGTGTTTGTGTGTTTGTGTGTTTGTGTGTTTGTGTGGTTGTGTGTTTGTGTGTTTGTGTGTTTGTGTGTTTGTGTGTTTGTGTGTTTGTGTGTTTGTGTGTTTGTGTGTTTGTGTGTTTGTGTGTTTGTGTGTTTGTGTGTTTGTGTGTTTGTGTGTTTGTGTGTTTTTGTGTTTGTGTGTTTGTGTGTTTGTGTGTTTGTGTGTTTGTGTGTTTGTGTGTTTGTGTGTTTGTGTGTTTGTGTGTTTGTGTGTTTGTGTGTTTGTGTGTTTGTGTGTTTGTGTGTTTGTGTGTTTGTGTGTTTGTGTGTTTGTGGGTGGCCCACGGAAAGCAACAGGCCGTCAGTAATGGGGCACAGCGACAGCCGAGCCAGAGAAGACACGGCCACTCGCGCGACTGCGATTTCATGAGCATTTAGATTTCGATGGCGTGAGGTTTTCCTTCTGGGTTCCTGGACTGTTCCTGATACTCTAGTTGCACGCAGCGGTGGCTGTCGATGCCTTGTTTTGCCATCGCAAGAAGTTAGCCCGATCTGCCACGTCCTTTTGTCCTTGTGTTATTCCTCGCATCGCGCCTTCAGGTGGTCTGGCACTGCGCCGTATGATCTCTGCTCGCATGGAACATGTGTGAGATTAAGTTTCTTCAACGTTCGTGCACCAAACCCACGAAATCGGAGCCAGTCAAGTTCGCAAGCACGAATCTGATTTCTTCTGACATCGTTTCAACCTTGTGGTACGATGGACAGACGGACCTGGTTCAATCCTGGCATCCTTAGGCGGTCACTGTTTTCATCTTTGGCATTTCCTCTTGTCTAGACGAGCCACATGTTCGTGGCTCCTTTGTGTGTGGCCATTGCCCATTGAAGGAGCCTAGTCAAGATAGTCCCCGATATGCGTGTGGCCGTGGTGTGTCTCAAAATTGCACCGTGCCAGGACATGTTCCTCCGGAGAGACCTGTGACATATCGTGAGCAGGACGGATACCGGCCAGCCGCTTGCAACATTAGATTGCATGAAGGGAGGGGTCTTGTACGAGCCATGATCTTTAGTCTGATGCGGTAGCATCACATTGACGGCTTCGACGGCGCAAGTCCGAAGAATCGGGTGTTCTTTCATCGCCTTCCATGATATGCTTGATCATGCGTGGCGGACACGAAGAGACCGGCAAGGACATTTGGACATCAGCGCCGGCTTTGACGACTGCAGTTGTCTGTTCCTGGCTCGTAACCCACGTGGTTCAGCAGATGACCGCTGAAGGGATGAGCTGGAGGATCATCGCACGTGTCGGTAGACAAATGTCAGATCGCCATACTCTTCACACTGCACAGCAGGCCCCTCAACGTTCCTAACCTCCCAGCTCATACACTTGCCCAAGCACGGCGGAACGGCTGATGCATATGCCACATTGGAGCCAGCAACTTGAACAGAGCGGAAGAGAGCAGAACACAATTGATTTTCACGGGCTTGTGTGTAAACCTCTACACCTCACAAGCCGCGTTCTCTCCAATCGTACCGGCGCATGGCACCTTGGAACAGGTGGGCAGACGTGGGCTTAGGGCTTAGGGCTTAGGGCTTAGGGCTTAGGGCTTAGGGCTTAGGGCTTCGGGCTTCGGGCTTAGGGTTCCCCTAAGTTGAAGGATGTGTTCCCGAAATTGAGAAGGATGGTGAAAGAGTGCAGCTTGGGACCTCATGGATTGTTCTTATAATCTTTCTTTTGCCACTTCGAGTTGCTGGATGTTGTTGGTGCCTGGCTTGCCAGTTGCGCAGCTACAGACGAGCCTTTGTGATTGGACTGGCAGGTGACTTTCCGGCCGTTTATGAGCTCCAAGAAGTCGGAGCCTCTACTGTTCTGTGTTTAGATCCTTCATCTTGAGCGGTGCTGAGGCTGAACTACCAGGGCCAGGCGTTTTCCGACGCAGACTTGCAGGTTTGGGCCTCGATGGGTAAGGTCCCGAGTCGCAAAATATCGCACTGCGCATTACGATGCCAGGACTTGCCCCTGAAGGAAGTGGTGTACCCTTATGAGGAGGTCAACTTCTCTCAGATACTCGGCCGAAACATCCGAAGCTGCTCTTCCCTGGCAAAAGGTTCTTCATGCCAACTTTGGCCCCTTCTGCTTCTTTTTAAGCAGCGCGAGGGTATGAAACCACGACCGGTGCCCGCAAGCCGGGACGGAATGGTGGTCTTGCAGTCCATCGCTCTGTACAACAATTAGTTACATTGGCGACGTTACTTGCGTAGTTCAAAACTTTCCCGACAACATTGGTGCACCTAAACGCATTTGTTAGATGCTAGCCTTGGAGTTTCTTTCATGAAGCCATGGGCCATGGTGACAATATGCCTCCGGCGCCACGACAAGCGCGGCGCGTGACATCCGACTGGTCGCACGAGCCGACGGCGACAGTGGAGGCTTCACGGGAAGATTTGTTCACAAGGGGATTTAGGGTCTGCAGATGGCATCCCACACGTGTTGACAATCGTGAAGACCTTTGTGGCTTTTTCCTTCTCTCAGAGCTTGCAGAGCAACAAACCCTGGCCCCAGCCGGCGTTTACTGGAGCACGGCAGACTGGACAAGTTTGGACACAAGCTGCACACACTCACATAGGCACAAGGCCTGATCACTCCTTTCACGGACGCCTTGATGGGATTGATTCGTTGTGCCTTTCCTGGTTAGAGGCGTTTTCGACAAAAAGCGTTTCAGAACCTAGCCGAGTCCTGTCGAAGATCCTATCGAAGCATGTCGGAATCCATACACCCACCCGAGAGCTTTTGTTGCAGGATCTCAGAGAGTTTCGCAAGGAGGCTGAAGTGATGTGCGAACGCGTGCACTTTGAGCCGCTGCAGTCGAAGCTCTCATCGGTAGGCTCGCCGCTTGCCAGACGGCGATGATGTGGACACTGGTGATTTAGTCTGCGGCTTAAACCGGTCGTGCTGGATTGGTTGTGAGGCTGCTGCATACTGCCGGCTGCTGCGGATGCATCTCCACCCAGGTCGTGGTCACTGAGCCTTCGCGAAGTTGGCATGGCCGAGACCTGGCAGCACTTCAGAGCCATAGGTGTTGGATGAGTTGGACAAGGCAGGAGCCAGGCTCACGGCTGATGTCTGTCGCCAAGTGGCCAAATGTCACCAAGGAGTCTGCCTCACCGAATATGCAGGCCTCTCTCTTCGCCTCTGACATTCAGGGGTTCCCGGCAGATGCTGTGCCATGTCGGGTTTTCGTGCTGTTTCGTCGGATGCGCTTTTCTGAGAAACGGCTTTCACACCAGAGCATCCGTGCTGGCAGATGCCGGACCCGCGTTGTGGCTGAAGAGGGTGGAGGCCGCAGCCGCAGTAAAGCCCTTTAACCTCAGCTGTATTTCTTGGACCAGCTTAGGACGTGCAGCTCTCGCCCGGCAATCTGTCTGTGGATGTCTGCACGCTTCCCAAGAAAGGCGCAAGATCAGTTTACCGGAAGATTCCAATGTCCGAAGTTGGTGCCTGTGCCTGTGCCTGTGCTTTGTATTCAGCCTGAAGGCCGCGAGCGCGAAGCCCAGGCAAGGGATTTGGCTCTGGCGTGGCCTATACCCTGCTTGAGGGTACTCGTACGGTAGCTGCTGTGCAGATACTGAAGCTCTGCGATGTCGTGCGACTGCCATGGCCGGCCATGCGCAGGTGCGACGGGACAGCTCACGCCAAACAGAATTCCCAGTTGAGCCCTGGCAGGCCGCCAAAGCCCATGACGGAGCAGCACCATCTGCGTCAGGACCATGGGGAAGCCTCAGCCGCTGCTTTGTTTACCTTTATTCTATTTTCTTTTACAATTTTGTTTGCACGTTCGAGGACTGGGAAAAGCTCTCGGACAAGCGCTTCAGTCCTGGGAGGTTCCACTCGACTGGCATGTTGAAGGGAGAGACACCAGATGCCCTTTTGTTTGCCCTTTTGTTTGTCCTTTTGTTTGCTCTTTTATTTGCTCTTTTGCTTGCTCTTTTGTTCGCTCTTCTGTTAGCTCTTTTGTTTGCTTTCCCTTGCTGCAGCTCAATGCGGTAGGCTCCCGGCGGCCTGGGACAGCATGGATGGCCCTTCCCGGCGCAAGTATCGAAGCCTCTCTGCAGCGGCCATTGAGGTAGGACGGGTGCAGATTCGTGTGCCAGCAGAATCAGCATATGCAAAGTCAGTTGGCCTCTTCAGTGTGTGCTGGGAAGGTGCATCAGCAGATTTCCCACTGGCGGCTTCGAATGCATGCCCTGCTCAAGGCTGGTTGATCTGCAATTGTAACTTCCCTCATCTTGGTCTCAAGAGCACAAACTTTCTTTTTTCGGCCTTGAAAGGAGCTGCTAGAAGTGGCGCCAAAGCCACAGGCGATGGGTTTTTCAGTCGACATGCCAAGTCCGGCACAGAGCGTGAGCGAGCTGCTGCTCAACTACAGTCTGACCAACCCCGCCCGGCATGACTGAAAGATACTGAAAGCCCCCACCACCAAATTGCTTGAATTGCTTGAATGGCTGACTTGCATTGCGTTCGGAACTATGCGTGCTGTGCATATGCATGCTGGTTGCAGTAGCAGCCAAGCCACAAACTTAGAATCTTCAGCGGTGCATGAAACTAGGCGATGCAGGAAACCGAAAGGAAACTGGTGCACACAATGTGGGCGATCCAGGAAACCACGTGAATTCAGGAACCACGCGACTAGCGAAACTGCCCGGTTCAGGAAACTGGCAATTCAGAACTCCGGCCGTGGAATTACCTCATTGAAGCAACTTTCCCGTCTGGGGCTGGGGCGGGTGGGGGGGTGGGGGGGTGGGGGGTGGGTGGGTGGGTGGGGTGGGTGGGGTGAATGATAAGACTCATGATCGTTCATGTTTCTGGCAAGCTGGCATGCCTTCCCAGGTTGACTATGGTAGACTTGTGATGCGGAGGGCTCGGGATGGAGGGGGGGGGAGGGGGGTCCAAAGCCACTGACCGTCAGAACCCAGATCTCACAACCGCAAGAATCCCCGAATCTGCATCTTTCGGTTTCGGTAGTTCCCCGAATTTGCGGCTTGAGGGAATCTGTGTCTTCCGGTTTCCCGCACCTGCGGTTTCCGAATCTTCCAACCTGCCATTTCCAGTTTCCCGAATCCGCGTGTTCAAGCATCTTCTGGTTTTCAAAATCACGTTTCCTTTCCTGTCCTAGTTTCCGAATCCGCGTTTTCCAGTCTCCCCACTCACGCTTTTCTGTTTTACCAGTTTCCGAATTTCCCGACGTGGCTGACCACACGAGAAACGTGGCAATCATTGTGAACTGTCGTGTAGGTCAACGCCTACATGCTGTATGTGATGGAGTGTCTGGGCCAAGACGACAGGGCAAGTTGTTGATTTCCAATGTAGCTATGCTGCTGCAGACGTGTCCTGAGTCTTGATTGCACATTCGATCGAGGAGGTCAAAGAAAACCAATCCACCGTTGCCACCATGGCAAGAAGTCAAACAGGAGCCTATGCAGTGCAAACGCAGTAGTGGGCTGAAGGTTTTCATCAGGTTTGCTAGTGGGCACTGCAGTTGTACATGACGATACAGCGGTACATGCTCATGCTCGCTCATGCAGGACTACCAGCGACTTGTCACGGAGCGGAACGAGCAGTTGCAGCTGGGCAGCATGTGATGCTGTCGGGTCTGGCCGTTTGTTTGCTGCTTCTCCGATGACTACTGACTGAGGAAAGAGATGCGCGATCTCTACATAGAGGCCACCTGGCCATCTGGCCATCTGGAACGGAG